CCCTTATCTTCGCGATGTCGCCGGAGATTAGTCTTCATTTCAAGATTCTTCATCATCCTCCATCGCAGGTGAACTTCCCCTCCCCCTTTCATGTGTTGGAGGTGACTGTGTGATTTTTTGAAGTTGCAGAATCTGTTCCTCCAAATCGGCTTTCAATGCCGACTCCGCCTTCCAAGACGTCAACCTTCTTCCGGCCATCTTTTCTTCCCAACGGATCTCAAATATCCACTTCCGGAAGGCCAAAGGAGCCGCGTTGCAAAAAATTTGAGGTTGTCAGCACCTAAGGTGTGCCAAAAACGACGCTCTGTTGGCCGCTATCTTTAAGATATGAGGAATAACATGCGTTGCGTCGCGGATCCAGGTTGTATTCACATAGGTTGCTTGACATATAGCCAAAATCAGTCCTATGATCTCTGCTCTCGTGCTTGCAAAAGCGCTGAGGTCAGGTTAAGATTTTCTTGCTGGTCCAAGCATACACATCAACACCAAAACGAGCGGAGGAATTTAGTGCACAATCAGATACAGTGAAAACCGATGTCGAGAGAAGAGACTGTGTATTTTACTTCAATAGATGTGCAAGAAATTCGAAAGAATACTGAGCGATATTGATCCTCAATTCGAGAGGAGGATCGATCTCTCCCAAATCTCTAGACGCCGCTAGAGCCCAAAGAAAACCTAAATCTAAGAGATCTCAAATTTCAGCCAAATTCAAGATACTCAAACCCTAGGAAAATCAACTATTTAATGCATACCAATCAAAAGGAATTCCCTCAACAGTCCCTACATTCAAATTTTCCTCTTAACTCCCCAAAATTTCTTTCCTATTTGGCTCCCGCACACCGTGCGGCTCGCTCGGCATCCCAGCGGGCGGAAGTTTTTCCACCCTGTTCGTGTCTGAGCCGGTCCCGCCTGGACCAGCTGGACCGGTCCACTGGACCAGTCTAACAGACGCCCTAGCATTAACACAATTTTTTAAAGGATTCATGTCATGATTATTTGACAAGTTTTACGCTGGCTGTTGACTACCTAACGCAACCCTCCATTTTTCTCATCCAGGACTTGGGACCTGACAACGGCAGTGTTAAGAATTCATGTCATGAAACTTAGTACAATATGCATCCTAATTTTTCTAATAGCCAATCATGGATTGTCGATGCAATTTATGTTATAAAGAATGCTTTCTTACATGTGGACTTTGTAGAAGTCATGTATATAGTGGATTTATCGCCTACATTCAATAGTTCTTTTACAAAAGACAGTATGCAAATTAAAAAAAATTATATGGACTTAAATTTTTTGTAAGAGCATACAGATTCATAGAAATTATGAATAATGTTGGATACAAACTAAGTCAAGGGGATTATACCCTCTTCATAAAACACTCTATTGATGAAAATCTCAATTTTCATTTGATATGTAGATGACATAATTTTTACATGTCATGCTAATAGTGAAAAAGAATCTCTCAAAATATTTTACCAAAAAATTTGAAATCATGTAGTTAGGCAAGCTCAAATAACTTTTTAGTATAACAATTGCTCAATTTGAACAAGGAATATGCATTTCTCAACAAAAATATGCTGTGGATATACTAAAAGAAACAAAAATTACGGATTGCAAACCTTATAAAACCCAACTAAACTATGTCAAAAATTAGATGTAGATGGAGAACAGTAGACATGGGATAATATCAAAGATTAGTTAGAAAATCAATCTATCTCACACCTGTCCAAACATTATATTTGCAGTAAGTCTTATCAGTCAATTAATGAACAAAACTGAAGAGTCTCACATACAAGCTGCTTATATAATTCTTAGATATCTAAAATCAAATTTAGGCAAAGAAACTTTATATAAAAGGCATAATACTTGCAAATTGAAGAATATACTGATGTAGATTATGTAGGATCACTATCATATATCAAATACAAGATAAGGAATTTTATATAGAAGGCATGCTACTTTACAAATTGAAGAGTATACTAATACAGATTATGCATGATCATCATTGGATAGAAGTTCCACGAAAGGATATTGTATTTTTTGGGAGGAAATCTCATAACATGGAGAAGAAAAAAACAACCTAATGTTTCAAGATACAGCTTTTTATCTAAATTTAGAGCCATTATTCATGGAATCTACGAGCTTCTATGGATCAAAATTATCTGGAAAGATTTAAAAGATAGATGGGAAGTGCTAATGAAGATATAATGTGATAATAAATCTACAATCAACATTACTCATAATCTAGCATAAAATAATTGTAATTTGTACTAAATATGTGGAGGTGGATCATGTCATTTCATAATAAAAAAAAGTATGTTGATTTGTATTCTATATGTGCTAACAGGAAATTTAACTTGCCGACATTCTGGTTAAAGGATTTTGTAACTCCAAGTTAAGAATATTGTAAGCAAATTTGGAATGATAGATGTATACCATTCAGTTAGAGGGGGAGTGTTGAAAGATCATGGGAGTCCCAAGTCCATCAATTTTGGTACAGATTCTTGAGCATATGGATTAATGATTCTATCTGTTGGATTGATCCTCTTATAACATTTAGATTGCAATTCGTGTGCCTCCCTTTCTCTTCAGCCATCAACCGCCCCTCTTGGGATTTTTTTTTTCTTTTATGTAACTAGTTTTGATTTATTTGCAATATAAGATTTTTGGGAAAGTTTATATTTCCATATTTTGTACAGAATCAAGCAAAATAAAAGTTAATGTAATTTTTTTCTATATATATATATATATATATGTATTCATTCTATGTTATATCTTTTTTATTGTGTCCAGTTTTATTTAGTCCAGGACATTGTGTTGGAGACCCCACTTGATGTTTGTCAATTTTTCTCAAATTACCAAAACTTTTTTCACAACCTTTTGCGCAGGAAGTGGACATGTGATAGATAGCCTCTTACACTCTAACTCAATATAAAAAATCAATTTTTTTTAAAGATATCCACTCTCTTGCTACCACTCCATAACTATAATATTATTATCTCTTGGTTTATTCTCAGTTTTTGTGCTTGATACTCTTGTCATTCCTTTCTATCTCACTTTGTAATATCATTTGACTTTTGATGTATTCTAATGAGTTCTTTATAATATGATCATGAATAATAATGTACTTGGGGATTTGGATGATTCTACTTTAGTTATTTGTTATAGCAAATGCACACATATGTGCACCCTTGCACATCTGTTGAGAAGTCTAGTTTATTAGGAGATTTGTGTTGTCATTCATTTGGTTTCGTATTGCATGATGAAATGCAACCCTCTCGCAAGATTATTGGACCAGAAAAGTTAGATATCTGTATCGCTTGCCTTGGGGATATCAATTGGTTTGTAATGCTCAACATAGCAGATAGAGCCCTTTTGCGGTATATTAGTTAACAATAATTTATATGACTTATATATGGTCTTTTGAATTTCAGTGTTCATTTGATGAATGTTTATGTTTTTTAATTTTTTATGATTTGATTAAAAAATCCCTAATAGAGTTAGGATTAAGCTGAAAATTATGATATTCGATTTGAATTTCATGATGATTTTTGGTAGGCTATTTTGAGATTCACCAATGTGCTTTCCCCTAGAATTTTAAATACCTCTTCAAACTCATCAGTACTAGGTTGTGTGGCAAGCTGTAATTTGACTTTGAAAATCTGATACTTTCTTAATGTGAGGTATATTTAATGCCTCCATAATATGTTGCATGCCAATGCACACATCATTCGCTTTTTTGTTGTTGGTTTTGCAGCTAAGCTAGGTGGCCATTGTGCAGATATATTACTCTTCAGTCTCTTCCAAAGAGTTTCCCATGCCACAATGAACTTGAATTATAGCATGTAGATTATAGTGCAATTAGTGATCAATAGTATACTTATGGCTGACTAATTTGGTATTTAATGGATTGCTAGGCCTTGTTTTATTAATGAACTGTTTTTGTTCGCACATACTGATTTGTTTTAGTTTTCATAAACAAGTAGGAAGCATAGAAGTTTCTTTTGGAGGTAAATTGGAATATTAAAGACCTTTAATTTCTTGGCAATAGCAACATAAATTGATCTTTTTTTTTGCTACCTAATTTATCCTAGTCAATGATTGTACATCCTGCAACAGCTGTTATGATTGGTAAACCTTATAACTGCATAATTGTGCTTACACTTTTTCATGTGATTGCTGTGCAGATGATTGTAGGCTGCTACTTATCATATAACACCTTTGAATACCTTCTGAAATGTTTTTGGGCCTTTGAATACATTTAAGCATGGGGCTTTAAAAATCTCCTGAAGCGTGAAATTATTCAATTTGGGGTTGGCGAAGTGGAGGTTTGGGTTCCTTTGGAGGTGGAGTTGGGGGTTTGTTTAGGGAATGAAGAAACCCCACACCAGATAACTGTGTCACTTTGGAACATAAGTTATGCTTTTGTTCTAATGATTTTGTTTTTCATGTTAGGACAATTTCAAACACCAAGAGCAAAAAGAAGAAGTTTAAAATAGAAAGGAAAATTACCGCACAAAAATACACATGAATTTTATAGAAGTTCATCTATTTGTTAGCTAAACCTTGTTGCTATCATTATAGATTTTACTATGATTTAATTGTGAGAAAAATATAATCTTAATTATTTGAATACAAATAAAAGACAGTGCCCTCTTTATAGAAAAAATTATAGGCGAACCTGAATATAATAAAATTCCCTAAATGCTCTTGATGAAATAAATATTGGATACCCAGCATCACGTCTGCTTAGCGTATTTTTGGTCTTGGGAAAAATTAGGCTCCACAACTTCATTACAAGAGTATGTCATTCACTTTTTATTTGCAGTATTTTAATCTGACCACATGTTACAGTGAATCTTCCATCTATCTGTACCTTACGCAGTAAACTACAACTTGTATTGACCGTTTTGGCAACGGCTATTCTCCTTCCTTATCTTTGTAGATCACCTTGTCTTGTTAGACTGACGTGTTTGTAATGCTTGTTCTAAATGCAGGAAGACATTTACTTAATAAGCTCAAATGCCATGCGCTATAATGCAACAGACACAATTTACTTTCGGCAGGTAATTATAATCTTAAGTGTTCCAATGACATTTATACATATTATAAAAGGTGATATCGTGCAAGAAGCTGAAGTTGTTGTCTACACAGGCACGGTCCATACACGAGCTTGCAAAAAAAAGTTTTGAGAACTTAAGGCATGGAAGTGATGGTAGTGAACGGGAGCCAAAAATAGTACGTAGAGGTAGGCCACCTGGAACTGGCAAGAACAGTATCAAGCGGCCAGTTGGAAGGCCTCCTGCTGAGCATGCTGTTTCTGATTTTCGCTCTGAGGCTTCTCTTGCAAATGCCTTGAATGGAAACCATTCTTCTGGATTAAGGAATGATTTGTTGAGAAAAGGATCAGGATTGGATCAGCAAAGAATGGCAGATGTGTCTGTCAGTCCTACTCAGTTTATTCAAAGTTCTGAAGCATATATTTTAGGCAGTGAGCATAAATCTGTGAGAAATGAAGATTATTCAGGTCTTTAATGATTTCATCACATCAGAGTCAATTGCTATGCTAATTTTCTTTCCGGACTTTTATTTAGGCTTCGTTTGAGACAGCTTTTTTATTACTTCTTAAAACAGAGTTTTAATAAAAAAAAATTAAAATTTTTAATAAGCAATAAAAAAGCCGTTCCGAACGAAGACTTAGTTATGTCAAGACTGGCTTTAGCTGCTTTTGAGGAATTTAATCTTGAGGGCCTTACTATCATTACAGGGTCTACATGGAAAGGATTCTTGGATAACGGAAAGACAGTTTCTTTCATGGATGAGAGTCGCCGTAATACATACAAGCAATATCAGTTTTCATCCTCCATGCATGACTTTCCTGTGCTGGCAGCTCTTGATGGAGAGAAAAAGATTTTGTTGCAGGTGAGTGTCTAATATAACTTCCACTCGATTGTTCAAATTTCTTGGAGTGTCTTTGTGCGTATTTGCCTATGCATATCATATATTGCTGTTATGTACCAAACATTAATGTGGTTGTGATTTAGATATCAAATGCTTCAAATTCCTAATTGACTTGTCTATCTCATGAACTAGTTTCCAGCGTTGCATATCAATGATCTCAGTTACTAATACATGATTACCTGATTTATACTGAATCAGGTTGGGTTTCATGTCGAGTATGCATATGCCAGGAGTTTGGCTCGTTTTGCCGCGCATCTTGGCCCCATCGGTTGGAAGATTGCTGCCAAACGGATCGAGAAGGTTCTTCCTTTAGGGATGAAGTTTGGACCCGGGTGGGTAGGGGAGACTGATGCTCAGCAATCTTGTCACCTGCACTACACAAAGCTTTCTCAGCATCCTTCCTTGACGCATTCAAATATCTCAGCAACATCAAGAGGTGATCAACACTCCAAAAGGCAAGAGGAGCTTTTGACGAATAACTCTGTTGGACAAGACTGCAACTTTGGAACTTCTCTTCCTCTATCCTCAGCTTCTATATCCACTGTTGCTCATGAGAGATTTCATGATTCCAGTGAAGCGAAAGGTTCATCCCAATTTCATCATAACACAACAATGCAACATCTTGCCAATGGATTGAAAGTTCCGCCCACACCGAACATTCCTCTTCATCCTGGAATGTTCTCGAGGCCAAGTGTCTCTCGAGGAAACTTTGGTTTAGAGGAAGTAATTGCACAAGCTCATACAGCAAGTGCAGTTTCAAGCAACTCCAGCAGCAATTCCAGTCATGAATTGCCTCCCTCCCTTCCTCCATACCAAGAGAGGATTGTCAAGCCAGGAGTTATTCCAACACAAGCCACAAATCATGTAATCTCTCTGCCAAGTTCAAGTAAAGGGCCATGCCCTGTTGTTCAAGGTGTTGCAGTTGATTCACAGAAACCTGATTTGGCATTGCAGTTGTGAGAGCAATTCAGGTTCATTATTTATTTCATTCATATGAAATTGGATTCCGAGTAATTTTTTTTCAAATTTCTGAATTGTGATCCGTTCGAAGAAATATAGGTGGAATAATATTAGTCTAACTATCCTAGAACTGTGGGAGGTTTTCAAACAAAAATTAGGTGCTAGACCCCAATTCTTAGCTTCCATGGATGTAGATTTTGGGTTCCTTTGGGGTTTCTTATTCTTAGTTAAATTTTATCTGATTTTAGTAAATACCCAAATGTTTGTAGAATAGTGTTGGCATTTTGTACAGATTAACATTCCTGAAATGAATTAAGGAATTGTCTTCTTTAAGTACCATTTATCCAATATTTAATGAGCCATGTTAACATTGTTAGCCATTTTGCTAATTAGTATCTATATATGCTTCAGGCATACTTTTTTTCATTAAGGTTTTGTTTAGGACTGTTTTTTTGCTGCTTTTTTAAAGCAGCGTTTCAATACAAAAATTTAAATATTTGTACTAAAAAGCTGCTTTAAGAAGCAGCAAGAAAGCCGCCCCAAACAAAGTCTAATGCTGATTGATTATGATAAGTAGAATTGTGATTCTTTTATTAAGAGGGGATGCTGCGAATTAGCTACTAAAAGGGTAAACATGCTAGAAAATATTTCACATATTTGACAAAGCTTGTTGTTCAAGGCAACTATGAATCTTTTGTCATCCCTGTGTAGTGTTCCTTTGCAATTCTCTTCTCTCTGTTTTGTTTTGGATGTTTTAGAGCTTCCCAGTTTTTGTTTTTTCTGGAGCTCTGGCTTCTTTTGTCCAATGCTACTTCTGTAATTATTATTATTTTTTTCATGGTAATTTAACTGAGCTACAGTACATTATATTTATATAACCTTCAGTTTATACAACAAAGGGTATTAGCTTTAGTTTATAGTTTTTTTTTTCCCAAAATGCTTTTTCTTCATATTTATATATGCCTTTCAGTTTGCTGTTCTAAGCTGTCTTGAAAATATACATGGCCAAGTTTGGAGAGAGACTCTCACAACTTTTTATTTTAGTTTTTTAAAATTTTGAGCGAAGTTATTCATGAAAAATTTAGAATTTATGACATCCTTTGTTTGGGATAATTTTCTTTCTTTTTTTTAAAACAGTTTTATAGTACAAAAATTTTAATTAAATAAATTTATATGCTAAAAAGCTGCTTTAGAAGAGACTGGCTTTGTTTGGGACGACTTTTTTACTGTTTTTTAAAACGGAGTTTTAGTACAAAATTTTTTATTTTTGTATTAAAATTCCGTTTAAGAAAGCAATAAAAAAGTCGTCCCAAACGAAGCCTTGGGACGGCTTTTTTATTGCTTTTTAAAACGTTGTAGTACAAATTTTTTAATTTTTGTACTAAAACTCCGTTTTCAGAAGCAATAAAAAAGCCGTCCTAAACGAAGCCTAAGATAATTGTCACAAATAAAGGTTTCATTCAGGATGATTTTCTTATTGCTTCTTGAAGCGGCTTTTTAATAAAAAAAATTTAATTTTTGTACTAAAAAGTCATTTTAAGAAGTAGAAAGAAAAGCCATCCCAAACAAAATCAAAGTATTAGGCTTCAATTGGAATAGCTCTCTTATTATTTTTAAAGCAACTTTTTAGTATATAAATTTTTGAATTAAAAATTTATATTAAAAAGCAATTAGGAAGTTGTCCTGCCCAACTCTATATTAGAATTTTCTAATTACAATTTAGTAGAATTATTTTCTAATTTTTTTAATAAATATAATATATTAATAAATTTTAAATCTATTTTGGTCAAATTTAAGATTTTTTTTTTTTTTTAAGAAAAAATCTTGTTTAAGAAAAGGGAAAAATTTTGTGGAATGAAGCTAAATGAGTAGTTTGTCTTTATCATGTCTTATTTTTCTATCAAATGCAATGTATATTTATATTTAGTTTAAAACTTTGGTAGAGTTATAGAGAATTAGTAAAATTGAAGATATTCCAATAGATGTGTATTTATATTTATATTTATTTTTATTAGTGTATTAGTAAAATTGAAGTTAGAGAGTTTTTAAAGAAAATGAAGTATGGAAATATTATTGGACTTGATGATATTCCAGTAGAAGTGTAAAAATGCTTGGAAGATGATGAAAATTTTTCTGCTTATTAAAATTTTTAATATTATTTTGAAGACTAAAAAGATGCTAGATGATTGGAGAATGAGTGTTGATTTATATTTTTAAGAATAAAGGTTATGCACAAGATTGTGCGAATTATAGATGAATTAAGTTGATCTATCATACTTTAAAAATGTTGGAAGAGAGTTATGGAGCATATGTAACGATGTAATACTAATATTTCTCAAAATCAATTTGGATTTTTGCCAGGTACGTTTTATATGGAAGCTATTCATTTATTGAGAGGGTTGATGTAGAAGTTTAGAGAGAATAAGGAGGATCTACATATGGTATTTTTTGATTTAGAAAAAGCATATGATAAAGTTCCAAGAGAAGTGCTATGGAGAGTTCTACAAAAGAAATGAGTTAATAATGTTTATATTCAAGTAATTAGGGATATGCATGCAAGAGCTGTTACTTGTGTTCAAACCAAATGTGGTTTGATCAAGTATTTTCCTATTTCAGTTTGATTCGTGCGGGTTGTCATATTTTTTGCAGAGGTTCTGTACACACTCGTTGACAGTGTGTACTCTTAGCAGATTGATTACTATTGCCTACTGTCATATTCAATATGTTCTCTTGCGTGCTACTGTTGGCTACCAGTCATGCTACAATCATCATTGATTCTCCCCACGCACACTAATGGCAAGTTGCTACATCTACTTGCATACTGACTATGTTCACGGGAGACATTCGCATACATTTGCAAACTATTACATTCACAACTTATCTGTTGTCGTCGCTCACAAGTAAATTACTTTATTCATTTGCAAGCTGCATTGTGTATGTTTGTATGAGGTAATGTTGCATTCATCAACAGCTTTCCAGTGAATTAATATATTCATTAAGAGCTCTCTTGCGTTGGTTCTTTCAACTTCCTTTCACAAGTTTACAGGCTAACTAATATGAACATCAGAAGTTATATGTTGTTTGTGTGTGAGTTATGGTACATATTAGAAGTTTTATTTACTTTGAAGTTCTGTCGTCAACCTATGCTCCTTCATTGATGTTCGTTAGAATGACTCAAATCATACTTTAGCATCTGCATTTTTAATTTGGTTATGCATTTATTAATTTAGAGTTTGGTTTCCTGTTATTCATCCAAGTTATGTTCCCTGTAATTCATTTAGGTCCCATGTATTTGTTCAAATTCTGTGCATCTTCAGCTCGAATTTCGGCAGCCTCCTCTAGTCTCTTCCGTTTAGGGAAAATTTCGGGAATCTTAGCATACCCACCACGTCAGAGAAAGACGTGCAAGGTCAACGTCAGGTGACACCTCGTCCATAGTTTTCAATCCCACAATATCAGAAAAAGGCATGCATGTGTCTTCATGGGTACCTGTTTAAAAATGCAGTTTTTTCCTGCTTGAACTGAGGCATGTACATGTGCACTTAAATTTTTTTTTTTTAGAAATGATTTTTCTTGATATTTATGTATGCCTTTTAGTTTGCTGCACTAAGTTGTCTTGAACATATGCATGAACAAGCTTGGAGAGAAACTAGAAAGTTTTTTTTTTTTTTTTTTTTTTTTGAGCGAATTTATTCATGAAAAACTAAGAATGTGTGACCTCTTAATTAAAAACTAAGCTCTTATCTATTAAGGCTTCGTTTTGAAACATTTTTTTACTGCTTTTTAAAACAGTTTTACAACAACAAGAAGAAGAACATCAGTATCAAGTCTTTATCCCACTACGTGAGGTCAGCTGCATGAATTATTTTTCTCTGTTGTGTTTGATTAAGAGTCAAATTCTTATTATATCTAATAAAAAGGTTATTTCTAATATTTTCTAACAAAATATTTTTAAATCTATTTCTATCTTTTTTAACATATGTTAAATCTAATATATCTACTCTCTTGATCGAGTCATCAGAAGGCAGCCGTTTTATGTGACCAAACCATCCAAGGATCTCTAATCTTATCAGCCACTAGAGCTACTTCAACCTTTTCACGCATATGCTCATTTCATATATTGTCTTTAAGAGTAAAGCCACTCATCCACCTAAGTATCCTCATCTCTGCAACACTTAACTTAATATTTTGCTTCCCTTATAATGGACAACATTATGTATCATAAAATATTGCAAGTCCCCCACCATCTTATAGAATTTTCCTAATACTTAACAAATAAATTTTTTTAGTCTCTCTCTCGGATCAATATCATCTTAATTCCTTATGAATTCTTTTTGGCATTTTTTAAATATTAAAAGAATAACATATTCATGTTTTCATCATCAGGAAAGGTAAGCTTGTTGATTTAATATTATTAAGGAACTATTACCAATGACAAATCATACATTTAATGGAAGAGCACCGCTTTTTTTTTTTTTTTAATTCAAGATTTTAATAAAATCACCCATATAAGGATGATAGAAATTATTATAACAATAAAATAAATAAAAATTTGGAAACACTTTAAAATAATTATAAAATATGAAGTTGTTATAAAATGTTGATAATATTATTTTGCATTATTTAAAAGTTTTGATATGATGGATGACTTATCGTGATTACTAATCCCATCATATGGATATAAATCATTGAATTCTCTTAAAAAACTTAAAAAAAAAAAAAAAAAAAAAAAAAACTTCTAACATAACATCAACATCTAATTCACCATCATCTCGATGTGCTTTGAACTAAGATAGAGCACACTATATCTTATCTATGACCATCTTACATGTCATGATAGTGGCTCTCCACTCACTATGCATGATAAAGATGCTCACATCACTCATCAACATTTGAAATCAATAATTATCTTATCATTTGAATACTATGGTCATATGTCAACATGTGAGACAATGTTATTGTTATTTATGATATAACTTTATATTAAAGTATTATATAAATAAATATAAAAGTATCAATTAAATATGTGCATAAAAATTGAATGAAATGCATTTTTTTAAATAAATTATCTTATAAATGATAAAATTAGGATTTTAGGTAAAAATGTTTAATCAAAATATGAGAAGGGGATTAAGATTTTTATAATATTAATATTTAAAAACCTATAAATTGTTAGTTTGTGTGTAATCTAATTGAGTCGGTCAATCGGCTGTATATTATCTTAGACCTCAGTTCAAATTGTTGTGCTCGTTGCACCTGAATTTTTTTTTTTTCATTACATTGCCCCGACATTATGGACTCGAATGCCACGACGCAGTGTACTCGAGGGGTCTGGCGCTGCATAGTTTACTGGGAGAATCGGTAGAGAGCGGAGCGCCAAAGGGTTGTGTAGTGCTGCGACATCGTGAGACGAATCAGGATAAGAGGTTTAAGTGTCACAACACTTTGAGGCGGACTGAATAATTTTCTTTCTTGTTTTTCTGAGGGTGACATCCTTTGTTGTTATTTATTTAAATTTTTCTTTTGTTTTGAGTATGATAGCGATGTAAGAGAGAAGAAAAGAAAGAAGAGAGTCAGAGAGAAAAGAAAATTGTACTTATTTCTCTCTATTTTATAGTAGATTCTTGGCGTTGAGTGGGCTATGTGGCTCCATGATTTTTTTTCTGATTTTAAATTTTTTCACATTAAATCCCGGTGTTCCTTTTATTTTCACTATTTTTTACTTTCTTATTTATTTTGTTACATGATTTACTTCCACGTTCCCAGGGGCGGATCCAGCTTCTTTATTTAGGGTGGGCAAAAAAAAAATTTATGAGGGATGGACAAATATACTTAGGATTGATAAAAGTATGGCAAAAAAAATTTTTTAGGGGGGGCAAAATGCCCAAAATATCCAAAATATTTCAAAATCTCCCCTCTAAATATTTTAAAAAAAATTTTTGAGGGCCATGGGTGGATCCGCCCATGCACGCTCCCACACAGCTCATATTGATCTATTGGTTGGGAGCTTTGACTACCAACTAAGAGGTCTTGGGTTCAAGTCTTGTGTATGCGATGTGTGTATGAGTATGTCTTAATTGAACTAACTATTCCAATAATAATAATAATAATAATACTTTCACATTCCTAACATAAATATTTATTTATATTGTAAATAACTATAAATTGTTTTTAACAAATTTAAACTTTGCAAACCACCCAGCTCCGACTACTTAAAAAGGCACTACTAACTTTGAGCGTGGAACGGAAGGAGACCTTAAAATGGCGCGGCAATGGCAGCAGGTGGCAGCGTCGTTTAAGGGAAGAATCTCCCTCTCTATCTCTCTCCTCCTTAATTTAGGCGTTTCTGTTACCTCTGCTTTCTCGCGTTCTTCCTCCCCACCTCTCAAATCTTTCCCCTCTCTCCCAAAAAAGTCACCTTTGAAATAAGAAACAAAATCCGCCTCTCACTTCCATCCCTTCTCTATTAACTGTTCCGACAATACAAATTCCTTCTTTTCATTCAATTACATTGCTTCTATCGTTATTTTATTCTTCTTCTTTTTTTTTCCTCCGAGGCGAAGAGGCTATGAGTGTCCCCCCCTTCGCTCTTCGGTTGCTGGAGCGATAGGAGCGAAAATTTTGAAGTCTCAATTGCTTTTTAACCCTAGATTGCTTGATAAGTTCGTATGGAAAAATCTGAGAAAACTGGTTGCTTTTCTTGTATAAGCCCTCGCCACCGGGAATCGAGGAGCCGGACGGGCTTTAAAATTTCTAATACGTCCTCAGCTCGTTCTTCCTTATCCCGTGTTATTGATTGTTTGGGTATATTATTTAGGAGATGGTTTTATTTTTTTTTTCTTTTAAATTATTTTTAATCCCGTTTTACTTTTTCTTATAACCCCAAAGATCTAACATTTACATGGCTCTTCAATTCGCAGAGAATGAAACAAACCCGTTGTCTCCGAAAGCAGATAATAGCAACTGTACACAAAGTTTTACTTTTAAAGAACTCGAGATGGTTACCCAAAATTTCAGGGAGGCAAATTTGATCGGCGAAGGTGGTTTTGGAAGGGTCTTTAAGGGCCAACTTGAAAATGGCCAGGCAAATTTCTGAAATCTCATGACCTTCTCCCATCGTCGTTTGGAATGTTGGTTTCTAAAGTTACAACTTTAATCTATTATTCTTTCTCCTTTTTGAATTTTGATGAGCAGGTAGTGGCAATCAAGCAACTTAATCGAGATGGGCTACAAGGAAGTAATGAGTTTCTTGTGGAAGTTCTAATGTTAATGATGCTGCATCATCCTAATCTTGTCGGCTTAATTGGCTACTGTGCCGAAGGGTCTGAGAGGCTCTTGGTTTATGAGTACATGCCACATGGAAGCCTGGAAGATCACCTATTTTGTAAGCATTCATTTCAATTCTGCCTTTTTCTATTTATTTTTTTACTTTCATTTGTTCAGCCTTTATGTTGCATTGTTCATTTGCCTTTTTTCCTCTCATAATTGCTTACTGGCATTTTTTTTTTCTCCTAGAAATTCTATAGTGATTTTCATTTGAGTTGTTTAAATTTGTATGCTTCATTAATCCTGTCATATATAGTGTTACACCCCCAGTTTGGAAGGCGGTAGACTCCGACAACACAAGTCATGATGAAGAGATTAATCTTAACTCATGAGATAATTCTCAAAAGCCAAGATCAATTATAGTTATTTTGTACTAAAGAGGGGAAAGTTTCATATATAAATAATTGTAAGTAGAACATATAAGCACATGTATAAAGAAAAAAATTTATCGAATAAATGAAGTCTTTAACAACAATGCAACAGGGAAAGCCAAACAACTAATATAGAAAGGATTGAAAATAATGCAACAGGGAAAAAACAACTAATATAGAAAGAAAATGAAAGAATAACTACATAAGAAACAAACTACTTAAAACTCAACATAAATCTAATTAAGGAACTACAAATTAAACTCAAGTACCAAATTAATGATATACCAGCTGTTGAAACGTTTGCTCTTGCCATGACTATCTACCAAGCAGTCTGATAGAGTATGCTAAAAGAAGAGTTTTATGACAAATGAATTTGACATTCAAACTCAACAGATAACACTTATTTGTGAAAGAATAAATTAAAGGGCATATGACATGCAATATGAATAATAAAAGAAACATAATTTACAATGCAATGACATTCTAATCATTTTTATCATATCATCAGGTTAAAATAATATTCCATGACATGAATTAAAAAGTGCCATTCTTTAATGTAACTTTCAAAATTTTTATGTTCATGATGATTTTTATGAAAATAATCATCAATACATCTCTATGTTAACATATCCATATGCAATCACATCGAGCATATTCATGTATATTTAAAGATGACTCATAAATCATCTATCATGCTATCTTTAGTTTTTTATGTATCTATAGTTATTTTTACTCGGGCATTAGGAATTGGAAAGCTTTTCACCAATTCATAGAAATCCAATGATTCCAAAAAGAGCCGTCACTTTTCTATTTCTTTCATGAGCAAAAGGATCTTGCATTAAATTGGTATATGAGAAAAAGGTTTTAGGATCAAAGCTCAAGGAAATTTAAAGTTTGAGCTACTTTATCATCTAAGGATTCATTTTATGATTAGATTTAAATGAGAAATTGACTTTTAATAGGACACAATGAAAAAAAGGATTCATGAAGCCAACCCAACATAGTGGGATAATGATTTATTGTTGTCATAGCTACTTTATTGTTTTTGTCAAGGGCTATCCTATGTTTAGATGTTCATGTATTCTTCCTTCTTTCGTGGTTTGCTTCTGATTCCCTCCACCCCACCCAGAAATTCTTATTTCTCTCACCACCCACCCTAGACTTTATCTCTCAAATAAAATTTGAAGTTTGAACAACTTATCATTGTTGTTAAGGGTTATCCAATATTCAGCTATTTATCATATTGTTGACTTCTAGAATCTAAAATTGTACACCGGAGCTCATTGATTCAAGCTTGCTCGGGCTTGTCAACTTTGATTCAAAGTCAATCCAAGCCAAAAATTAACTTAATTTTTCATGCGATCGTTGTATTTTAAGTCGTTTTCATAAATTTCTATATGAGTTAGTGATATAGTTTTGGCAGCATGTATTTTATTCTCAACTTTTCTTTATAAAACATCGAAATGGAAATTTTCAAGCATCCACACTAGGCTATGTTGCTTTTATATTCTTTGAAACAAACTAGATAGCCGTTGTCTCTTGTGATGTGGGGAAAAATCATTGAAGAAGACAACTCCTAAGAGCAAGAACACCAATAATAATAAATAATATATCCTCTTTTCTATCTCCTACAACAGCTATTTATAACATAACAATATAAATCCCAAAAACTTTCTAGAAACAATTACTAAACTAGATCAACTATCCCTAAGGAATATTTTAGCTAAGATTTTTGTTATGGTTCTCCCTAGAACTGAACCAACCAAATCGGCCCAGGAGGGGCCGGTTCAGTTTTATAGGAGGTGGGCTAAGCCGACTCCTTAAGGTTCCGCCCAAGCATAGTGGGCCCCCCCCATTGGTCGGCAACTATAAAGAGGAAGGGGCGGCTAATGCTTAAGGAAGTAAATTTGAAATTGGTTTATGTTAGGAAGCTTTTTGTTAGGAAGAATTGTATTTAAAGAACATGACAGGCTAGGGTTAGGGCTTGTATGTTTTGAGTTATTCTCTTAGAGTTCCTTGACGTCTTGGGCTCTAGACTCATCGTCTAGAGATTGGGAGAGAACGATCCTCCTCTCGAATTAAGGATAAATTGTATCTTGCTTAGTGTTTGTTTTGTTTTGATTCCACTATTGCAATCTATCATATTTGGGTTGATTTTGATAGGAAACACTTGTAGATTTTCTGAAAAATAGCGAAAACAGTGATTGGACTACTGTCCACAGCAGGAAAACAGCAGAAAACAGTGGGGAATTAGAGGAAAACTGTAGGAAAACTCAAAGTACAACTTATATTCCACTAGATGATGAATAAAATAGCAAAGATACAATTGATCCTCAATTCGAGAGGAGGATCGATCTCTCCCAAATCTCTAGACGTCGCTAGAGCCCAAAGAAAACCTAAATCTAAGAGATCTCAAATTTCAGCCCAATTAAAGATGCTCAAAACCTAGGAAAATCAACTATTTAATGCATACAAATCAAAAGGAATTCCCTAAACAATCCCTACAATCAATTTCCCTCCTAAAATCCATTCAAAAACCTTCCTATTCGGGCGTGCGGCTGAATCGGCGGGCGTGCGTGCGGAAACGGGAGGCAGAACTTCCGCCTCGTTATGGCTGGGCCGGTCCCGCGTGGACCGGCCGGACAGATTTCTCCCAGATTTTGGTGTTATTTCTGCTGTTTTTAACCTATTATTGCTAGGGTTGTTTGCGAACTCAAGTATTTCCTCTTGGGTTACATGCAAACTCAAGTATTTCATATCAATGCTCTGCATCATCTTGCCTATTTCTTTTCTCACGGTATCAGCAGACACAAGCTTTACCTGCTTTACTTGGGTTTTGGATAAATGAATAGCGTTAATCAGTAAAAAAAATCTCTGTATGGCGATTTCTATTCTGTATGACAGATCTCTATTTTTTTTTTTTTTTATTCCTTCACATATTGATAGTTGATCCCCAAATTCTTCTATTTTCAGATTTATCTCCTGGACAAGAATCACTAAACTGGAACATGAGAACGAAGATTGCCCTTGGTGCCGCCCAGGGGCTCGCCTATTTACATGATGTGGCTAACCCACCAGTTATTTACCGTGACCTGAAATCTGCAAACATATTATTGGATGAGGACTTCAATCCTAAACTTTCTGATTTTGGACTTGCAAAGCTTGCACCAGTTGGTGATAGAACCCATGTATCAACGAGGGTGATGGGAACATATGGTTATTGTGCTCCTGATTATGCTATGAGTGGGAAGCTGACAGTGAAGTCTGACATATATAGCTTTGGCGTGGTGCTCTTGGAGCTGCTCACAGGGAGGAAAGCATATGACATTACCAGGACATCCGGGGAGGAGAATTTGATCTCTTGGGTAGGTTTCTTTCTATTTCACCTTGAATTATTTTCTTTATTTAGCTTCTGTGGATCTTCTTGTCTATAGAAGTGTTAACATTGGACATATTTTTTTAATGCGACTAACAATTGAAATGACAAAGACACCATTTGGGACATTTGTAGCTTTTTGCAACCTTAGTTGTCTAAGGCTTCGTTTGGTTCCCCCGACGTTTTTTTCATTCTTAAATGGAGGTAATTACAGCAGAGAAGTAGAATTTTTTTTCTTATCAGATCGGCAAAAATACAGAGGTATAACAAAAGGTGTTTTGACAAAGTCACGTAAATAAAATAGTAACTTTTTCACCTATTCAAATCGGAAACGAAAAACTTACAGACAACCAAACGAGACCTAAGCATTGTGAAAAAAATGGATTTTTTTTTAACGTGGTTTTAATAGCTTTCCTCTTAAAAATCTTGAATAATTGCTTTCTTACAGCTACTGTATTCTTGCTGGTCTTAATCATGAAAAGCTACTTGTTATAGAAATTTTTGAAAACTAGCAAGAAGTTATAGCTTACTAAAATAATTTTGTGAAACAGCTATCCCTAAGGCATCATAAGGGTTCATTTGGATAGCTTTTTCATAACTTTAAGAGTGTTGCTACACTTCTTTTTGGTTACAACTTTTTTTCTTAATTTTCAAAAATTTGTGGTGAGAATGAGCTTTTAACAACTAAATTTGCTAGCTTGTGGCAGCTATAAGAAGTTGATATTTGATGTTTTTTCAAGTGGAAAAAGATTAGAATACCCACACTAGCTCTTAAAAACTCTTCTTCTTTCATATAGTTCTACCAATTTTCTTATTCATGCAAGTCATTCTTTTCAACACCAAATCTCTTCTGATTCTAACAATGATGTTTCTTCTTCTGCATCAGTCGCGCCCTTTCCTTAACGATCGACGACAATTTATCCGACTGGCTGATCCAATGCTTCGAGGTCGCTTCCCATCCCGCCCTTTCCACCAGCTTGCTGTTGTCACTTCAATGTGCCTCCACGAGAAGCCACACGTTCGCCCGGCTGCTCGCGACATAGTCTATGCACTCAACCATGTTGCCTCTCAGCCTTATGTTGATTCAGACCATGCTGCTTCATCTGCAGAATCTCAGATGCAGAATGATTCTAATAACCAAAGCCGTTCATTTTCTCATTGAGAGTTTGAGACCAAAACAAGAAAAAAAGAAAAAAAAAGTTCTAAACTATTAAGCCTGCATATTATAAGATATTAACTGCATTTTTGGTAAAGTTGATGTCAATAATGAGATGATTGTTGGTTATTAATGAAAATGTGTTGAGAATCTTTGATCCTCAGTCTTAACAATTTCATATTTTTTGGATATATCGCTATCATAATGAACTTAAAATTGATTAATCTTAGACTCGTTCGATTTCTCTTCTCAAAATATCTGCTTGGATATAGGAGCAAGAATTAGAAAAGTGTACAACAACAACAACAAGATCAAACCTTTGTCCCACTATGTGGGGTCGGTTACATGAATCTTTTATCTCTATTATGCCATGTTAAAAGTTAAATTCTCGTTTAAATCTAATAAAGAAAGGTCATTTCTAATATTTTCTATTCATGTTTTTTTAGGTTTACCTCTGTCCTTCTTAACGTAAGTTTAATCTAATACATCTATTTTCCTAACTGGATCATCCAAAGGAACTTTTATTTCGTTCGGTTGACCGGATGCAAGAAACATCCGGTCGTAGGCAAAAAAGGAGCGGTACCGTGGTGTATCGAGTTTTTTGAAAAACTCGGTACATCATAGTACCGAGTTTTTTTTGCCTACGACCGGATGTTCCTCTGCATCCGGTCAGAGGACGTAATAACGGCCCCATCCAAAGGCCGCCTTTTTATGTGACCAAAAAATCTAAAGCGACTCTCTCTAATCTTATCTTTCACTGGAGCTACTCCAACCTTTTTACGAAATTAAAAAAGTGTGACCCACCAAAAAACATGAAAATTTTTAATTCAGCTAATAAATGCTAAATTTAGGTCAATCCAGACTCCGATTCATGTCGTTTCAATTCTGTTGGATTCATCTCATCAAACTTCACTAACTTTTACCATAATTTTGATAAAATCAAAATCCAAAATGTTTTTTTGAGATAATTTTTAAAAAGTTACATCAAATTAGTGCATGATAAAATCCATTTTATAAATCACATCACATCACAAATATAACCTTAAAATATAACTAATAATATGAAATAAAGTAAAGCCAAAGATATCACCATCACCATCAAACCCTAAAGAAAGTCTGTTGGCAAAGTAAGCCAATTACAACTTCGAGCTCCTCAGCTAAGTTGATTTAGGCATTTTTCTTCAAAAATGCCTGCGGCTTTGCTTGGAGACTTTTGTCATTCAGTAGAAGAAGCCTTGCAATTGGTTGAAGGTGGAGTAACCTAACCATGGTTAAATGTTGAGTTACTCCTATGGTTAAGTTATGAATAAAATAAATTAAATATATTATATATAAGTCAAATAAAATATAAGATTGTGAGGCTAACAATTTATTTTAATTTAAAAAAAATGCTAATCATACATATTTGGCACCATTTGTGATCAACTTTCATTATAAGAAATTGTTGGAATTAAAGCATAAAAATAAAACATAGAGAAATTTATAATTTTTAGTGCAAAAATTTATTATTTAAAAAATTATTTATTAGTTGTTCCAAATAAAATCTTAGGCTACTTAAAATAGTAAAGATGGGATAATTTAACTTATATTTAATGATAAATTTTTTAATAATTAATTTTATTTTAATGTAAAAATAATTTTAAATTTTATAGATTAAAAATATCTTATATTTATTTTAAATTTAAATATTAAATTAAAAAAAAAAAAAAACTTTTTCTCATTATAAAATTTTAAAAAATAAAAAAAAAATTATATACTTATACAAGTGTGACAATAATATATTAAAAAAAATAAAAAAATAAATAAAATAACTGCCTCAGGGTAAACCTTGTTCTCCAACTAGACAATTAGCTAGAGTTAGGGGTGCAAACGAGTCGAGCTCGAGCTAGGCGGTATCCGAGTCAAGCTTGACATTCAAAGCCCGCTCGAGCTCGAACTCAAGTCGAGTTCAAAATCCGAGCTCGAGCTCGACTCATCGTCATATCGAGCGGCTCGTCGAGCTCGCTATCGAGCCCGTTGTTGTGCCCATGACGGGCAGCCTGTCATCTCGAGACCTTAGTTCCGACTTCCGCGGTTCCACCCTCGTCGTCGCGTCCGTCATCATCCAGCTCGTCCATCGTCATCCAAGATCTGCCGTCGAGATTCATCTCCCGAACTCACAACATCCGCCGTCGAGAACCTACATCTCGAGCTCGTCCGACGTGTTCCTGAGCTCCGTCGTCGAGAACTCGAGATCCGTCGTCCTAATATCCGACAAGCAATGGATGAGCTCTGCCGTCGAGATCAAGATCAGTCGCATCCACCCTGTCCTGAGCTCGTCCACCGTCGAGAATCGAGATCCGCTCGTGCTTCGCCACTGTTTTGGATTTTTCGCTCACGAGATTTGGATTTCCCGCCCACGAGCTCCGCCAACGAGTTGCTCGTCGAGCCGACGAGTCGAGTCCGACGTATGTTCTAGCTCGAGCTCGGTTAGCCGTGTTCGAGCTCGACTCGTCAAGCCTTTTACCGAGCCGGCTCGCGAGTCGGTTTGACTCGGTTGCACCCCTAGCTAGAGTTCACCACATCTCCAAACCAGCACACTGTGAGCAAACTTTATTAATATTAGATCAAAGTTTCGTTTGGATCAATTTTTTTATAATTTTTTGAAGTAGTTTTCTAGTAAAAAACTTTGGATTAAAAAAAATATATATTACATAACTGTTTTATAAAGCAATAAAAAACTGTCCCAAATGAAACTTTAAAATTTCATTTGTGATGAGTTTTTATTATTTTTATAAAGTAGTTTTTTATACTAAAATTTTACTTCAAAAATATTAAAAAAATCATACCAAATTTTGAAACAGCTTTCTTATTATTTTTAAAATTATTTTTAATATTAAAAAAAAAGTGATTTAAAAAGCTGTACCAAACAAACCTCAATCAGAACCGTCCGCTAAACAAAATAAACAATTAAAAACCGGCTGACAACCAACCAGTGTGGGAAACCACGAGTTAAGTTTAGCCAAGCGAAGTGGAGCTTCTTGACGCGGCGACTTTGGACCAGATCAGAGCAGATTAATCAAATGTTTTATAAGGCAAAACGATCGTAGTGAGCGACAATTTTCTCTCTCTCTAACTCTCAGTTTACCATTTCAACATTTCTTTCCCTCTCTTCGACCATCCTCTTCCCACCATGATTGCTTCTGTAAAATCTTCTTAGAGGTTAGGAAGAAGAAGAAGAAGAAGAAGGGAAGGAGCAGAGGAAGAAGCTTTTTAGTTGTTAACAATGGGAAATGCTTGTCGTTCCTCTAATAAAGTAGTTAGCCCTGTAAGCACAGTTTCAGGTATATAACTTTTTGAAAATTTTAGTTCTCTGTCTCTATATAATTTTTCTTTCTTAAGCTTTGATTGCTGCTTAAGAAATTGATTTCGGTTTTTTTGTTTCCATGTTTTGGAAATTGGGTTTCTGCAATCTCATCTGGTTTTTTCTCTCTCTCCCCCAAAAAGCTTAGTTTGATTAGTTTTGGATGATAAGCTTGGATTGCTGCTTCTTTTCACTGTTTATGAAGCTTATGCTACCTTCTTCTTTTCAGTGCATCATATAGGAATTTAGGGTAGTTTGAGGTATCTATTTCGTTGAGCAAATTTAGGTTTTAGTTGGTATTGAATGATTTTTAGTGAGAAAGGACTCTAGGGTTTCTGAGTTGGACTTCGATCAAACTTCTATACCACATTAAAAATCTTATTCAATTTGTGGGTAATTTGTTTGTTGCTTTCAGTTAGGTTTTGTTTTTGGTTTAATTACTACAAATATTTTTGCACTTTGAATAAAAAAACTTTAAAGCAGTTGTGGTCAAATAGACTTCATTTACTCTGCACATGTTTAGGGGAAAATGAGGATGATGATGAAGAAAAAAAGGTTGGGATATGACTAATGATGATGATGATTATGCTATTAAAATTATTTAAAATAAAAATTTTTAGATCAGAATATCTTGACTTAATTTTGGTAATAAAGAGTTTAAAGTGGTCAAAAGTCCAAAATAATCTCCTGATTATTCAGTGTGTTCAATTTAGTTCTTGAGTATTACATTTATCCAATTTAGTTAAATCCGTGTATTTCTTGATTTGTATTTTGTGGTCTATTTTTTATTCTTATTATTACAAAAATTAATCTCAATTTAGTCTTCAAGGGACTATTCTAAATCAATTTTATATAATTGATAGACTAAATTGAAAAACATGATGCTTTGGTGCTTGATTAGCCAAATATAGATAATCGGAGGACTATTCTGAGCTTTTTCTAGCTTTAAAATTATTAAATTTACTTTTAAGATTAGTATAAAGTCACATATTATACTTATTAAAAAGAAATCTAATGATTAAAAAAAAATCATCTTGGTCAAATTTAGAACATATTATTTTGACTCAAATTCTCTTTTCTTTTGAACTTATGCAAAGTAAAGTGTTTGCTTTTAATTATATTGAATGTGATTCTTTTCCTAAACCCTAGATATAAATGAATTAGCTCCATTCTAATTGTGAGAATCTACTTTACATAGTCTCTTTCCTAATGACCAAACAATCAGAAAAAGTAAGATTCGCTGCTTTTAATTTTCTATAGGAGTAATATACATAAACTACTTTTACTTTATGTTCAAAGTTTTGAATACAGTTTTTTATACAAAGTATTTTTGAATCATTCATACTTACATGTATTATATACATCGGAATTTACTCACAACTTTTGTAGAACTCTCACCATTTCCACCCCTTGATCACTACCTTCTTCTTCTATATGACAGTACTATCATCCACAACTACAGCAAGTAATTGCACAGCCACTACTGGGAAAGTTTCAACATTTAGCACCAGTGCATTAGAGCAGTCCACATGCAATTCAGTGAGCACAGATGAAGCATTTACAGATGGAACGATTTTGGAGATGCCCAACCTACGGATGTTTACATTAGCAGAATTGAAGAATGCGACGAAGAATTTTAAAGCTGAGAATGTTCTTGGAGAAGGAGGTTTTGGAAAGGTTTTCAAGGGATGGGTTGATGAGAAAACTTTGAGTCCAACAAAAAGTGGGCTTAGGATGGTTGTTGCTGTAAAGAAACTCAACCCTGAAGGCATGCAAGGTTTTGAAGAGTGGCAGGTAAGTGACTGTTTGATTCTTGTTAGGGTTTCATTTGGTTGTTTGAAAGTAGAAATCTTGTTTTGAAAAAAAAAATGATGAGTTTGTTCCCATGGTTTAAGCATAATACTAAGTTAAGTATTGCAGAGATGAGAATGCTTAGGTGGATGAGTGGCTTGACCCTTAGAGATAGGATATGAAATGAGCATATACATGAAAAGGTTGGAGTAGCTCCAGTGCAAGATAAGATTAGAGAGAATCGCCTTAGATGGTTTGTTCACATTAAATGGAGGCCTTCCGATGACCCAGTTAGGAAAGTTGAGGTTTTAGATTCGACGTATGTTAAGAAAGGTAGAGATAGACCTAAAAAGATTTGGTTAGAAAATATTAGAAATGATCTTTATTTATTAGATTTAAATTTAAATAAAAATTTGACTTTTAACTAGACACAATGGCGAAAAAGGGTTCATGTAGCCAACCCCAAATAGTGGGACAACGATTTGATGTTGTTGTTGTTTGTTACCATGGTTGTTAATGCTTGTTCACTACATTTTTCATGGCTAGTTTCTCACACCATTCCTTTCATTGCAGTCTGAAGTTAATTTTATGGGAAAACTTTCTCATCCTAATCTTGTCAAGTTGCTTGGTTACTGCTTGGAGGAAAAAGATCTTCTCCTTGTTTATGAATTCATGTCAAAAGGAAGCCTAGAGAACCACCTTTTCAGAAGTAAGTATCAATTCTTATTATATTATAATTTTTCTCTATATGATATGAATGAAAAAGGTTCATATTTACTAATATTTTCAATTAGCTATTCAGTCTAGTGCGCAACTGGTTTCAAGTTTCTACTTGATGATTGGAAAATACTATTCCTTAAACTAATATTTGCTTGGGTCAAGTACGCCAAGTTAAAAGTTGACCAAGATAGGTCTTAGGGGCCAACAAGGTTCAACTTGCTTTCCACCAAACAAATTTGGATCTAACACATTATAATATATATAGTATATATAGATTGCTAACTTTACCATATGTTCATCTGAAATTAAATAAACTCTTAAATTATCAACTCATGTATTTTTTGCAGGAGGTGCAGCTTTTGAACCACTTTCATGGAGTCTGAGACTAAAGATAGCCATTGGTGCTGCTCGAGGCCTTGCATTCCTGCATTCTTCAGAGAAACGCGTTATTTATCGTGATTTCAAGGCCTCCAATATCCTTCTTGATCCGGTATTATTTTAAATAAAGGACATTTTTGTTTTCTTACATCAGAAGTGTTTTTTTGGTTGAGGTTTATTTATCTGGATCTTTTTATGTAGAATTACAATGCAAAACTTTCTGACTTTGGGCTCGCTAAGGATGGGCCAGTGGGAACTGACTCACATGTTACTACAAGAGTTCTGGGTACATGTGGATATGCAGCTCCTGAGTACATTGCTACAGGTATATTACATCTTTTACTTGCATATGAATAATGTTTAGAAAGTGAGTGAAACAAGTATGAAAGAGAAAGACTGCCTTACCTTTTTGTTTATTGAAAAATGATATAGAATTGGAGTCCCCACACCTGTGAGTGACAGATCAATCTGAAATTTTGGCTATTTTACTACATGTAATGACTAAATATGAAAGTGGATTGTTGAATGATCTCCTTATATTTAGGACAATAATGATGTTGAACGAAGAACACCCTAAATTTGAAGAATTGAGAAATTCAAAGGGTTACATTTTCTTCTACTGATGACTTTTGAAGTAATAATTGAGGTAAATCATAGCAAACCATCCTCTAACTTTGACTCAAGTGGTTTTATATTGATTAATGTGCTTTGAAAAACCGATTCTACACTAATCAAACTCCCATGCTAACTTGACATCTATGCATGCAAAATCTTCAAATGTTCTGGTGATAAAACTGCTTAATTTTCATATTGAAAGGAGAGATGGATATAAAGTCAGCGTGGGTGTTGACATGCATTGAATTTATAGGTGTGAGCATTATTGCTTTTATACATTTCTTTGATTGTTTAGGGTTTAGTAAACATAGTCAACTGCTTCTACAGTGCTTGTGAAATTGAATACAAAATCTACAAAATTGCCGCATGGAAATATGACATGTTATGTGAGAAGAGTGTGTTTTTGAGAAAGGCTGTCCAATGGAGAGCCCTCATTGTTATTCTAACATTGATGCCCTGAACTTGCATTTTTATGCCTGCTGTAACTCTTTGATTCACAGGTCATCTATATGTGAAGAGTGATGTGTATGGATTCGGAGTTGTTTTGTTAGAGATGCTCTCAGGTCAACGAGCACTCGACACAAATCGACCAAGCGATCAACACAACTTGATAGATTGGGCAAAACCATATCTTGTGGATCGAAAGAAGCTGGCAAGACTAATGGACCCTAGACTTGAGGGGAAGTATCCCTCGAAAGGAGCTCTTCAAGCAGCTCAGCTCACTCTCAGATGTCTAGCAAACGAGCCAAAAAGCCGTCCATCAATGAAGGAAGTATTGGAGACTTTGGAAGATATTGAAGCCATGAAAGTTCAGTCGAGGGAGTCCAAGAATGCCTCTTCTCAAAACAGGCCCCGTCGTCATGGCCAAGCTCCAGTTCACCCACGCTCGCCGGTGAGACCAAGGCAAGGAGGACCTGGGGTAGGCTCTCCTGCTGTTAGCCGCTCTCCTAAAGCTAGATGATGGCAATTTCTTACCTGAATTCTGATACACTAATCCTCATTTTTTTTATTTTTATACTGTAGATCTCCGTAGCTGTTGTTATAGGTTTGCTACTGTGGTGTTTTGTATCCATAATGAAAAACAAATTAACTGAATAACTTTCATTATAAATAGTTGCACTGGGCATTGGATTCAAACTTGCTAGGGAAGATAGCTACTTGCTTTTATCTAATTCAACAGCTACGCAACGCATATGAAACAAATAAAATTGTGTAGTCCAACACACTATATACTGGTTGTTTTACTTGCCTTTACATGACTGGATGCTAAATATTTGGGTGGAGAAAGCATTACTTATTAATAATAGAGTGATAAATGCAATGGTCATCTAATGATAACTCGTCAATACTCGTATGGGCAAAATACCAATTTTTCAATTGTTCAGATTCATATAAGTATCTACAAATTGCCAATCCAGTGACCCTAACGTTTCTCCTATAATAATGCTGTACTTTTTAGACAGAATCATGTAAGTTCTGAAATCATATGAATTATTGTGTATTTGCGCCTATATAAAATGAAAAATATTATATGCATGTTAATGTGATGCATGAGAACCTATAAAATTCACTCTTTGAGTAGATTTGTGATAGGAAACACTTGAAGATTTCAAATCCTATTAAGAGAGCAAAAACACCGAGAAATCTCCACGATTCCAATGGAAAACCAGTGAAAAATAGTAATTTTATTACAAGAAAACAAACTACGGAATAAAATAACAAGATACAATTGATCCTCTATTCGAGAGGAGGATCTATCTATCCCAAACCTCTACACGACGTTAGAGCTCAAAGAAAACCTATGAGATCTCAAATTCAGCCAAATTTAAGAAGCCTTAACCCTGGAAAAACAAACTATTTAATATATACAAATCAAAAGAAATTCCCTAAATAGTTCCTATATTCAAATTTCCCTCCTAACTCCCTTAAAAATCCTTCCTAAACAGCTCACGTGCTCTCGGGCGTGCGTTTGATGCATACAGGAGGTGGAAGTGTCCGCCTCTATTCGCGTAAGCTAGTCTAGTCGGATCGGCTAGACTGGTCTAACAATTTGTTTGGAGAGTATGATTTTATTCCTACTATATAAAGAGCTGGGCATGCAACACCCGATTGGTAAGTGCTACCCTTCAACCCATCAATATTGCCAAAAACTATCTCAAGAAGATATTTTTTTCATAGTTCTGACATGTATTTCATTTGAGCAATTGGCATATATATTAAAAAAGTAATAAGATGGTACAAATGGTTTACAACCAGCATACCAACAGGAATAAAAAGCATAAACAAAAATTGGAAGTAAACTGCATGAAAAAGTATCCAATACTCACAATAATCTCTTCATTTATTTCCAAATTAAGTTTCAGCTACATAACTGAAACTACTTAACTTAGTGACATGCTCATTGTTTCTAATATTTTCTATCATTCATAAGAAAGTTATGATAAGCGATTTCTAAGTTCAGGGAAAAATGCCTTTCCTGGAACTAGATTTCCATGGCTCTTCAAGGCGAATATAATCATACATTATTCCTTGAAAAGGGCTTGAGCTTCTTGCCTGAGTAAGAAAAATCGTGTTCTCCCCTTCAATGAGCAAACTGTTTTGAACCACAATATTGTATAACCAATACAGCCCATGGATTCCATGCCTCGCTATTGAGTTGTCTCTACCAATGAGTCCGGTTGAGAAGTGAGGAGGTTCAGCTTTGGAATCATTGAAACGAACCTTGACAGGATAAAATCTCATTAGTTATAAGTTGAATTGCAGAGGACTAAGCTTTCAATATTTTTTATAATCGGAGAAGACGATTTACTTGCATTTCAGATAGAGTAGCAGATGCAATTGCTACTCGCAGCATGTATGTTTCAGTTTGATTGACATAGTCGAGTTTGAATTTAATCTGCCAAGTGGTTGGTGAATATGAGTTCTGATCGTTTCTCCTGCAACGAAGGAAAAGGTTCTTAAGATTTTTTTTAATTATTTTTTTGACAATGAATGCATGGGGTATTGGAGATTGTAAATAAGTGCAGATTATTGAATACAAGGTTGAACCGAAAAGTAGTATTGCAGTAGCAGAAGAATTATATCCAAACAATAAGAATTAAATGACCACAAAATTATAACCAGTTTATGTTAAGTTTCCATATAAAGTTGCATTGGCTTATATTTTCATGGGTTTAAAAAATTTACACCTCCGATTTACTGAAAGAGAGTTTTTAACATTTCCGGGTCAAATTTTTAAAAGAAAATTAGATTTAAGACACGACACTACCAAGAGAATTCGCTATCATTTTGTGATGATTTTATGATTTGGTTTTAAATTTCTCATAGGTGCAAGCCCCTATGGCTAATTACCCCTAGAGGTGCAAAAGCCCCAAACCGGCTCATGAGCTAGCTCAAACTCCACTCTCTAACGAGCTAGCTCAAACTCCACTCTCTAAGCTCAACTACTAGCATATTAGATGTATTTTTGGTCCCAATTTGATCACACACCTAAGAAGTGGTATCGAAATGTATGGGCTTAGTCAATACAATGTTTCCATGATAGGACCTTATAGAGGAGTGTTGAGGATGTGGAAGTAAACACCGCAACGAAACAAACAAGAAAAATAGAAAAGCATCGAAAATAAAAGGATACTAGGATTAACGTGACAAAACCCAAAATCATGAAAAAAACCACGGAGCTACACCACACCAAGAAATCTACTATTAAAATGGGGAGAAATAAGTACACATTTCTCTTATCTCATGCTCTCTCCTTGCTTCTCTTCTTTCTTACACCGTTCTCTCACACAAAACATAAGAGGAAGTCAAGTAAATAACACCAAGGGACTCCACCCATCAGAAAAGCAAGAAAGAAAATTATCCAGACCATCTCGCAGCATTGTAGCGCCAGTTTGGAGCGCTGCGGCGCTCAAACCCATAACACTGCAGTGTTGAATCTAAAGCGCTACAGCGCTCTGCTCTCTATGTTTCTCCCAGCAAACTCTGCAGCACCAGGGTGCTTGGGAACACAGCGTTGGGGCGTTCAGGTACACATCGCTATGGTGCTCGGGTACAAAGCACCAGAACCCTAACATGGGGAGGACCCCCACACCCCAAATGAGCACGATAAATTGAACTGAGGTCCAAAACAACAGTACAATCCACTAGATCAACACAATCATATTCCACACAGAACTAACAATGAGTAATTTGAATGTATACATATAATTTGGATCTATTGATGGCTATAAGGCTCGATTAATGGTCAAAGGTTATACATGGATTCACGATATTGAGTAATTAAAAAAAAAATCCCAGTTATTCAACTTAACTCCATTTGCCTTCTCTTTGTTGCCATTAATCAAGAATGAAGCTGTTACGCCGGCCCATCCTGGGCCGGCTGGACCGGTCCACCCTGGACCGGTCTTGGCTTACAGCCGGCGGAAGAAAGCAGCCAGGGAGGGGGCGGAAACATCAAGGGGGGCCCACTTGATGTAAATTCAATTTTGGGAGGGAATATTTGAATGAGAAGGGTAATTAGGTAAATTGTAATCCTCCTTTCATGTTTAATTAGGAGGAATAGGGGGAAGAGGGGGTTATCTTGAATTTGAATCATTTTTGAGATCTAGGGTTTGTGTTCTTGGGCTCTAGGCTACGGCTAGAGATTTGGAGAGTTTTTCCTTCCTCTCGAATCGAAGGAAAGTTGTATCTTGCAAGTGCTTTTCATCTCTTATTAAATAAAAGTGTTTGCTTTGTTTCTCTTACGTTTTCTCCTTCGTTTTCTCTCCGAATCCACTGTTTTTGGCTGTTTTCCTGTGTGGACAGCAATTTTCATCCGAGATCTACTTGGTTATTGGTGTGAAACACTTGGAAATCCAAGTGTTTCCTATCAGAAGCTTACTCCAAATGGATGTTAGCAATGATTTCTCTCTGGAGAAATCTTCTAAGATGTTTATATGGAGCGATCTCCATAGTATGTTGCTTAAGGGGAGAACAAAATATGTGTGTGTGTGTATATATGAGTTAAAATAAAGTTTCAATACTTGGTTTGAGAAACTCTGCAAGGTCCTTGTTGATATTGGCGTTCATAGTAGCTCAACTGATCACTTTTTATTCATCTGCCACTATTTCTCTAGCACAACCATCCTTTCTATGTATGTTGATGGCATTCTTTAAACTGAAAATGATGCTTCTAGCATTTAGGAAATAAATAATATCATTAGATGATATTTATTATTAAAAATCTAAGAAAACAAAAATACATTCTATCTGTCGAGTTTACTTATAGTAAAGGTGTTTCTCTCGCTCAAAATAAATATGCTAAAAACTTGAGGAAGTTGGGCTTCGCAAATGCAAACCTGCGGACTCTCCTTTGGAAACACTATGTGGTGAAAGCTTCCAAGATATGTCTTGCTACTAACATTTGGTTGATAATCTTATCTATCTTGTTGTCGCCTCACTTGATATATCCATTGTCATCAGTGTATTTAGTCAACATATGCCAAACTCAAAACATTAACACTTGATTTTTCTTAAGAATTTTAAGATATATCAAGAAATCTTTGAAAAAAATGATCAATATATTAGAAACACAATCATTTAAAGATAAAAGCTTATTATGATGTTGAATATGTTATATCCATTAAAAATTGGTAGTCTACATAACAATATGATGTTTTTATTGGGGTAATCTTATTTCGTAGAGATGAAGCAAATTGTTATTGTTATATCTAACACTGACGTGACAATAGAGCTATAGCTCATTTTGCTTAAGAAATGATACTGATCAAAATTCTAACAAAAGAATTTAGCTTTTCTATAACTTAGCACAAGATCCTTAACGATGATAATCAGGCAATAATCTACATTGCTAAATGCTAACAAATATAACTTTTATGAAAAAATTAAACATATTAAAGTGATTGTCACTTCATCAAATATATTATCTACCAAAAAAAAAATTTATCACTCGCCACATCTCTAACAAAGAAAAAATTAACTGATAGTTTTACCAAATCTCTAGGACCATTCTGTTTTTTCATCCTTTGCAACAAGTTAGAACTCCTTAATGTATATATTACAACTTGAGGAAGAGTATAATCATAGAAACTTTAACACATTGAAAAGCTAATAATTAAAAAAAAAAATTATTCTTATATTATATCCTCATAATTGAGAATATTCATTATTTTTTCCTATTTTGTCTCGTATATTTCCCAATATATAAGCACCTATATTCATGTTGAAATAATGAATCAGACTTAACTATTCCAACAATCAAGCATGGGATAAGTTGATTTAAAACCTCGCCTTTCAGCTTTTGGAAAGATGTGAGCGGAGAGGGAAGGTAACCGGGAGAGATGGAGAAAAGAAGGAAAGCTCATACCTGGTAACCTGGGCAAAGAACCAATCCTTCGTGAAGTCACTAACACCAACAGTATAAACAAGATCACTGTCAGGATATAAATCAGCATATCTCTCCCAAAGTCCATATTGTCTAAATCTTGAATGAATAAGAAACAGGAAACGGCACATATTAGATTCAAGACTCGAGTATTTTTAAAAAATCATAGAGTACAAGATTGTCAAAGAACAAAAATAAGAATGTAACCACCATAAATTCTCAGAACATTCACCATTAGGACAAGCATTCATGAAATAACAATACCTATGTATATTCTGTGCGTTACCTATCAGGATGATTTAGATAAAGCCTATTTACATAATCGGGTTTAGGATCTGGAACGTAGAACTCAGCAGCAGAGCGATCAGGGTATCCAATCTCCCAAAGTGTGGGACCATCTCTTGGAGGTCGATATACAAGGTCACCAAGATCAATACTGGTTCCTGCATAAAATATGCAAAAAATAGATGAACATATATCAGACTTATTACAAACAATTCTGTTGGCAATATTCTCTATATTATTTTACACTAATATACTGACCTGACATAATGGCTATAGTTGTATCATACATGTAGTCTCCTATGAACCCTGGTACCCATGCATAAAGATTGTAGTATCCAGTATGAATATTTTTAATTGAGAAGAAGCCATTGGCTTCAGCTCTTGTCCAAAATTGATATCCCTGATCAGAATAAACAAAGTATTTCTAGATAAACTCACAAGAAAATAGGCGATCAACAACATATATATAGTGATTACTCAGAATGGTGCAGCTACTAACCTTGCATTCTCTTTGCCATGACCCCACTTCTCCTGGTAGTGCCAACCCAATGTATGCAGAACTTGCATATAGATCTTGCTCATCAATGTACCTAATAAACTAGTCCAGTGTTAGAACAGTAACATTTATAGTCTGTTGTTGATCCTTTTGCCCATAAATTGCTACATATCATAGAATTATAATTTCGATAAATGTAGTCCATTTTCTTGAATTGTTTGATTTTCAAATACCTCATTGTGTAAGTTACTGAATCACTTCATGACAAACCAAAAATGGCCACATACCTGTCACAAACGAGTAGTCTACCAGTAATAGAGCCCCTTTCTTCAGCCTTCTGAAAATCTTCTGAAAGAGGGAATGCATACGGCCAACACTCTACTTCAGTTTTCATCTAGAATGCCAAACAACATCGCAAAGGGAGCATGAGAAAATTTTAATATAAATACCAGAAAGTCCATGAGCTGCTAAACAATAGAGCATATCAGTGTTCACAAGAGAAACTACTTTGTAAAGCAGATCACTGATACATCTAGACCGGTCCAGCCAGCCCAAGGGAGGAGGCGGAAGCCTACTGTGCTGCAGACTCCAAATCCCGCCCCCTTGGGGGTGAGGTCCACTGCCTAGGGGAGAGAGGAGGGCTGTTTAGTCCTTTTGGGTTATTTTTATGTTTTGCTTTAAATAGGAATTTTGGATTAGGGTTTAGGGCATCTTGTTATTGGCTGATTTCGATTTTGGTGCTTGGCGCTCTTGGGCTGTAGCGACGTCTAGAGAATTGAGAGAGATAGATCATCCTCTCGAATAGAGGATCAATTGTATCTTAGTATTTTCCATTCCTTTTCATCAAAATAATACAAATTTCCTACTGTTTTCTGGTTTTTGCTAGGGGATTTGTGGAGAATTCTAGATGTTTTCCCAATATTGATAGGGTTCCCTTGAAATCTTCAAGTATTTCCTATCAGTAACATGGATACCTTCCGGCAAATTCTCAGAATTGAGTAAATAGTATCAATCAGCATTGCATAGATGTTTGTAATGATCGCTTAAGATCTCAACAAACATGTTAATGAGGATCTTTCAGAAATATTTGACGGGGATACAGTACAGTAAATGTGCAGAATTTACATTAAATGGTAACCGTCAACAGCTAAACAATGTTACAGTAGTTTATAAGCTCCCATGAAAATGGGTAGTGGAATGAGTGATTAGGAATCTTTGACAGAGGTGTAGAAAGGCAAAAAGCTCAAATTTTAGAGTAACAAGCATCAGATAATAGCTTATCAATGGTTTTATTTATCAGGAAATCTTAAAGGTCGATGCTCATACATTCTTCAATTTTAGCTTTTAGAAAGGTCGATGCTGTTAATTATCAGGAATATCAGGGTTGACATTCTAAATTTAAATTTAAGATTCCCATCCAATCTTGCGCTGAAATGTGGAATAGAGTGTTAGCTTTGTAGCCCTCAGCAAAAATTCGAATAACAAGCTATTGGGGTAAATTTGAATAGGAAGTTGTTTGTAGTAGCAGAAGTTGTTATTGTTGATGATGATGATAATGATATTCATGATCAATTAATTGATAAGAATCTGATCAAAAGTTTTTAAAGTTCAACCTGCAAATTTGCATCCTCCCAGAGAATATGTGGGTCTGTTTCTCCCCAAGTGGAATTGAGATACATGAAAACTGGACCAAAGACCTTTTTCCAGGATTCTCCATTCCTGAATTTAGGCACAAGATCATCACCAGAATAGTGTGCACTGAAGAACATCTGAACAAAAACAAACAAAAACATGCATTAATAATGAAATCATCAATATTATTTTAGATACTAACTGTAACTAAAGAAAATTTATTGACCCTTGTTTAAAGTACTTTTATTTGATATGTGATTACAAAAGTGTAGATCCGTACCTCCACCATGCACTCTCTCTCTCTCTCTCTCTCTCTCTCTCTCTCTCTCTCTCTATATATATATGTTATATTACTTTTATAAATATTATATAATTAGAATTTGTTTTTTGGGACAACTTTCTTAAATATTTTTTTTCTACTATTTTCTAGCTATTTTTCAAATGTATTTTTTTTATAGAGGAAATTTTTTTTACTACCAAAGTTTTTTTCTTATAAGTTGTTTATTATTTTATATTTAATATTCTACCTTCTTAAATGATAATTTGAAAAAAAAAATTAAAACTTTTTAATGTCGATCCCAAGCCTAGATGTAAAAAGTTGAGGGAAAATTTAAAAAAATTATTTTAGGCCCCTAAATACATTTTCTGACTCCGCCACTGCTGACCATGATTAAATTAATGATCCGTTATACTGGATAATGAGGGCTCAAAAAATTTGAGTCCTGGCCTCTTTGTATGAGAGAGTTTTAAGAAAAGCTATGGGTTAAATTTTCAGAAGACATATTAGATTTGAAATAAGATAGTATCAGACATTTAACTCGCATTTTGCAAGAACTTTCACTTATGATTCCATGTTTCCCATATTTATCATCCTTGAAAAATGATTATGAAGTGCGGATGTATTTTGCTTTTATGTTTTGAATGATAAATCTTGCTTGAATAATTTGAATTTTATTAAATTTCGTAATTTCTATATTTTTGTCAAAGCTTGGGACTCAAATAATTCACTTTGAAATTTGTGAGCATTTTAAAAAATGAGATTCTTTCCGGTGAGATTTCCTATCGACGTAGCCAACATTAGGATTTTAAATAATTTCTTTTATTATTTCAACCTTATCAACTCTACCTGCTTGCTAACAGAGGCTCAAGTTCGAGTATCAACTTTGTGAATTGTTATATGAGCATTAACTCAAGAGTTCGCATTTTATACAACATCAAACCTTTATCCCACATGAATCATTTTTCTCCATTGCGTCCAGTTAAGAGTCAAATTCTCTTTTAAATCTAATAAAGAAATGTCATTTTTATTATTTTCTAATCAAGCCTTTTTTAAGTCTACCTCTGCATTTCTTAACATAAGCCAAATCTAATACATTTATTCTCCTAACTGGGTCATCTAAAGGCCTACGATTTATGTGACCAATCATCTAAGGCAACTCTCTCTGAAATGGAAAGTAATGAAGGCATACATTTTTTTCATTTTATAATGGATTTAAAAAAAAAACATTAAAGGCCTAATGCAAATATAAAACTAAATATCTTTGTGGATTTCACGATTGAATATTCATTTATCAAAAATATGATGCATTGGTAGTAGCACAAGTAGGTATTTTGGATTTAAAAAAGACCAATACAAATTTTAAATAAATAAATAATTATGCATGTTCTTTTAATTTGGTCCATTTCATTTTTTAAATTGTGCAACATTTTTAAACAATAAAATTAGATGTTTGATGTATTAGCCAAAGCACATGTTGGTAACTAATTTCAATAAAAAAATAGAATTTTAATTCAATTTACTTTTAACCCGTGCATGATTCTCATACTTTTTATTTGAACATCTAATACATTTGTCGAAGCACATACAGGGATATTTCTATTTTAATCCAATGTATTGTTCATGCTTTTTTATGCATTTATACAAAATATTTGCACATTTCACCATGTATTTATGCAATGCACTTGCATACTTCTTAATATACTTGCACGTATCTCAATGCACTTGCACAATGCATTTGCACATTTACAATACATTTGTACTGTATATTTAGGAGACACGTAGACAATATTCTTTCGATAATTTGACGTGTCTCATGCACTTCATCAAAATCATCATGAAATCTGTGACGTGAGACAGTGCACCACTTTGTCTCATTTGAAAGATATTCATTCACATGGTGCACTGTTTATTTATAAGATCTATTGCTGGTTCATAGGATGCATACGAGCCCTATTTTTTAATAATTATCATGCATGTCACTCAAGGCATTCATACACACATGATTTATAATAGGTTTTTCCTTTTTTATATATAAACATTCACTTGAACACGATTTTATTAGATGTGCAAGGGCTTGATGTAATAGTGGTTCACATGAGTAAATTGTCTTTGGAATGTGCACACGACTTTGTATTTTGAGTTTATTATTGCTCATATTTTGTCTACTTGTGCACATATTATGGATCTAATTGCAAGTGTCATGAATCATAATCTTAACACATTTTTCACATTGTCCTTTTTTCCGTCTTTATATGATTGAATTTTAATTTGATAGGCTACGCAAATAATAAAATTTCATATTATAAATTTGTATTTAAATTTCGGGGTGCTCATGAGAGTTATAGGAGCAAAGGAAATGCCTAGTTTGCGCTCGCTAGTGAGCTATCAAATTCATTACAAGACATCTGTAAATGCTGTTTTCTCAGCCCAATACATGTTCTCGTTTTGCAATTTTCATTTTCATTTTATCAGTTTTTTACGATTTTAAATTTTCTTGACACCTTTCTCACATAGGGGACATCCTTGAAGGCTAAGCCTTCACCTACATCATGAAAGCGTGAGGTGTCATAAGATATCGCAACTAAAGGTCTTCCATCACACCATGCTAAGAAAGACATATATAGGTCTTAATGTTTCTACCTAAAACTTGTAATATTTTTCGCTGCATAAAAAATGCATGCATAATTACTTATATTTGAATTTTTCTCACCATAGCAAAGAAAAAAAGAACACTTATGGAGCTTACCCGCTGGGTCAACTGCAAGTTTCTCCCACCGCACTAAAAAAAACGTGCACGAGTTACATTCGTCGCACCGAGCACGCCGCGTTCCAGATTTTGAGGGTTTTAGGTTTTAAAAATTGTATACCTACGCATGTGGTGATGTTGACATAGGCAAGGCGGCATGTTTGCGAAGTCAAGTTTATAATCTCTTTTGTAGAGAAGGGAGAGAGAAAATAGAAAGAGAGAGAGAGAGAGACAGAGAGAGAAAGGGAGAGACAGATTGGGGGGAGACAGGAAGAGAAAGAAATAGAGAGAGTGAGAGAGACAAATAGAGATAGAAAGAAAGTAGAAGGGAGATTGATGGAGAGAAAGAGAGGGAAAAAAAGACATGATGACATTAACGGCGATAGGGTTGGCAGTCGGAGGCGATAGCGACTGAGCAGCTGCGGCGGCGAGTTTCGTCGTTGCCTTCCTCAGCGAGATCCCGCGCGGTTTCCTGGCTACTATCATTGAGGCTTTTGGGTTTCGATTGGGGACACGGAACCGAGAGAGGGACAACGAAAGCGAGACCGAACATTGGAGAGCGAGAGGGAACGAGGTGGGGAGGAGGCTGTTCGCGGGTATAGGCGGGGCTGTGTCATTCGTATATGGGCATATAATTTTTAGGGTTCTAATAAAATTTTCTCTCGTTACCAAAAAGAGATAATATTTCCGCCTGTAAAAAATTTAAAATCAAATTATAAAATGTTTATAAAATGAGAATGGGACCTATAGATAAATTAAGGGGTTGTTTGGTTTCAAAAAATATTGGTGTAAAGTATTAGGAATACAAAAGTATTAGGAATACAAAAGTATTAAGAAAATTAATATTAATTTTTTATTACAAAAATTAATAATAATAAAAAAGAAAATTAATATTAGATTTGAGCTAAAATAAAGGGAATGAAAAATTTTGTATTTAGATTACATCACCAAGTGTAAATTTAATGTATTTAAAATTCATCTAATTTGGACGATTTTCAAATACATCATAAATTCATCATCATTATCGTGATACCACCTTTTGCCACTTCTCAGGTTGTCATCCACACCTACCTCCATTGTAGGCCACCACCGTTAGCCTCCACACTCGCCACCACCACTAGCCACTATCGTAGCAAATGTCACCCACGCTGCCAATGATTTTCCTGCTACCACCATGATCGGCCCCCCACCCCACCCCTGTCTCCAGCCATCATCGCCACTGTAAGCCACCAACCACCACTATATTTGGACTTCATATAGTATTTATTTTACTTCAAGCTAAATAAAATAATAATAATCAATTGCATTTATTTTATTCTCATCCAAACAACTCCAAATCATTTCAATTTTTCAAATACAATGCATTCTTTCTACACCACACTACTTCGACACAATATTCAATTTTCAGCTAACCAAACAACCTCTAACTAAAATATGAATTATCTTGTGAAAATCTATGCAGAAAGATCAAAAACTCTCTTAGAAGAGCCAAACATAAAAATTTTAAAGGCCATAAATGACACAAATTGAAAGTATTTAGAAGATACTAGCAATGTAAAATTACCTAAAAGTTCTCTTTAGATTCTAATCATTCAGAATTTTTTAATAAATGAAAAAAAAAATAAAGGATAAGTGACTTCATCCTTGTAAATGGATGATATATATATTGTCAAGTAACTTAGAGATGAGCACTCACAGCAAGGGTGGTGGGACCAACATGAGAGGTAAGATTTTGCTTTGTAGGCCCACCGGTTCGGAATTCATCACTAGGTGTAATTTGCCAGAAGCCAATAGGAGGGTCAAATGATATCCAACCATGAATCTTGTTGTCTTTGTTATCACATGAATACTGATACTTGTCATCCACCTGAGGAATCATTCAGGTTTCGTTTAGAACAACTTTCTTATTGCTTCTTAAAACAGTTTTCTAGTATAAAAATTTTAATTTTTCTCCTAAAAAACTGTTTTAAGAAGCAACGAAAAAGCCGTCACAAACAAAACCTCAGTCATTAGATCCCACTGTGGAGGTCATTAGCTGTAAGAATGTTTATGTAGGCAGCCATTCCCATACCTCTCCTGTAAGGTCTGGATAGATTGGATTTGTCAGAAGAACTGCTTCTGGGTATGCTAACTGTTGGCATCTTCCAGCCATCCGATCATCAGGCATTGGCATAATTCTTTGCCTATCGTTACCCACTGCCATGTAGTGGAACCTAAAGCTCCATAACATGCAACAAAATTACTCAACCCAACACATTAATTGTAGTTTAAACAAGATAAAAATCATTCCCATTTCATAGTTTTAGGTGATGTAGCTTTGTTTGGTATATAGTTGTATTGATATGTACTTGACTCGGGTTGTATGAGACAGAAGAAAGCCAAAAGAACTAGCCGTTATATTTGCGGTCTCAACTGATTACACTATTTTTTTACTTGATTAAATGAATTCAACCAATAAATAGCTAAACGTAATTAATAAAAGGAAAACAAATTTAATAATCAACTTACTTATCTTTTCTAAGCTTGAAAGCAACCCTGGTTTCTGCCATATTGAAATCAGGCCATCCTTCCAAGTGCTCATAGATGGAGTAAGTATAGAATCCTGATGAGCCACGCAGCACAATAAACCTGAAATTTTTAAGTATTAATTAAGAAATCAGCTATTAATGTCTGGACATGGAGATTGCAAGTTTAACACAGCACACCTTTTGTCAATATTCAAGGGGACAATGGTTCCTTTTAAGGATGGATCCCATCTCCTTGTGAATGAAACTTCAACTTGATTCTCATCTTCAAGTATTACTTCAAAATCTGTTCCTTTAATCCTGCATGTAAGTTGAAATTTTAATGACTTTGAAAATACAATTTGCACAGGAAAAACAAGGATGTTTACTCACACATCAAAAATTCCAGGTCCTCCAGGTTCGCTCCACACTAGATCCCAATACCTATCTCCAAGGAAAATGATAAGATGATGACACAATATCTTTCACATTTTCAAGGAAAATAAGTAACGATAACCCTTAGCAGTCCATCTTTAAAAAAAAAAAATCACCCTAATTTAACAGCTGAAACGTTCATGAGCAGAAGTATTTCATCACCAAGACTTCTCAAAAGAAGGGAAAAAAGCAAGTTTACTACCAATTAATAACGACTTTTCACAAAGAAAACACAGAACAAGACAATAAAGATGATTAGTCATGAAGAATTAACTCACTCCAATAAAAACAAAAGACATTTTCTTGGAATTCTTAAGAATTGTAAAGAACCAAAACTGAATATACCCTCTATTATCTTCCTTGTTAAGTATCTCCATCAGATTATCAACCCCATTGTACTGGACTCCAGTTACAATCCCCTCTGGCTTTGACAAAGTGAGCTTCATGATGCCATTATCTATCACCACCTGCTCGTTCCCTCAGCACAAGCACAATTAGTAAATGCGTTCACAAAATCACCAAAACATATATAAGAAAACCATAAACATCAAGTGAATCTACATACATATCGATCGAGAACATATAAGCACACGCCCATAGGCGCCATTGGAGGAGTCGCCGGACGGCTCGAGAGGCACTTCCCCATGGCCTTCCTGCAATTGCAATACCCACACAAGATATCAAGCAGCACAAAAGGAGCAATATTGCTAAAAACTACAATATGTAGCCAATGATTACCTTATCTTACTAAGGAAACTCATAGATAGAGTTACCTAATCAAACCAATTTGTGATTTATAGGAGAGAAAAAACCACCTTTTGATTGCTTCATTCCTTGGATTGGCAACAAAGAATAGATATCTTGGAAGCCAAGATCAACGTTGCTTGGTGTGGGAGTGGCTGGCTTTTTAAAAAGATGTGGACCATTGTTCATCAAATATAAAATGTCCAATTCACTAAGAAGTCTGGGCTTGTGTCATCAAATATATTAAGCTCTACTATTCGAAATTGAATCTTAAGCAGCAATTTAACAAACAGCTGTTCTACACTTCTGTTTCTTCTTACATTCTTCTGCATGTAATCAACCTAAACAAACTTATAGGGGATCATAAAGAAATAATAAATATAAAAAAAAAGTCTGCTTACCTGTAAAGATCACTTCTTTGCTCTAAGAGAGGGTTTTACATAAAAAATTAGCAATTTAACTAATTGCCAAATCCCCAAACTGAAACTCTTGATAATCGTAAAAGCCTAAACTTGCGGGACTGCTAACAACGAGGATTAAATAGCCCACGCCTGCGTGAAAAAAAGAGCTTTTTCCGGACATCCTTGAAATAATCAGAAAGCTGGATTTACTTCCAAATAAACAAATTTCGATCTTTCAGTCTAAATAAGCAACATGAATCCCTAATGCCATCGTAGCAGCAGTCGTTAACTGGAGCATTTCAACAAACAGCGTTCGGGGAAAGTGGAGAAGGCATAAGACTGTTCTTAGTTTATAATCAAATTAACTAAATATGTATTAATTTTAATTTTGAACATTTTTTATTTAAATATGTATTAAAATTCATATCTGATCAAAAAAGTTTTTTATGACGTTTCAATTACTTATACATTTTAAAATAGAGTAGTGTGATTTATAGATGTATTAAAGCTTCCAATATTATTTTTTTCTTGAAAGAAAGAATTATTTAATGTTTATGCTATTTTCGCTTTTTTATTCTCAAATAAAATTAATTCTATCAGCATTATAGAATTAATCCTCCATTGATCACTTACAATCTTAACATTTCCCCTTCTTAGTGCCATTATTTTTGTACCGTTGTGAATAAAAAAGGGGCAGTTTTAAAAAAATATATTTGGTTATAGAAAACTTTGCATTTATTTCTTCGTTTATTTAATTATTTATTAATATTTTTAATTATTATTATTATTGTTGTTATTTACTATTTATTGATTTCATCATTTGATCTTATCATTTTGTTTACCTTTGATTTGAAGTTATTGAATGAGATAAATGAAAAAAAAATGATAAAAGAATTGAGTAGAAACTAAATTACATATTTAAAAGCATATCATAGAGGATTTTCTTATAAAATAAATTAATATCAACATTTTGAGTATAAATTTATATATTTATTATGTGTGAAGATCAAATTACTATGAATTTAATGAAAAATATATTAGAATTGAAATTTGAGTGATATTATTACAAATAAAAATAAAATTGAGTGATAAAAAAAAATTTCTTTATTTTTCTAATTAAAAAAATTAGTTATCATTTCTTACTAAAATGAGAGGGAAAATTATGATCCCAGATTTTGTTTCAAATTTTTCAATAAGATTAAATAGAAAATCATCAAAGAAAATATAGACTTTTAATATTTGTCATATAAATTTAACCAACTACTCAGTACTTTATAACCAAATATTAATTTCAATGAATTTAGCTTAAATACTATCACAAAAATTTGAATCGAGCTAAAGCAACGCATGAACACATTTTTAACAAACAAATTTGAGCTCAAACATCCTTCGTATCGACCCGATTCATTTGTAACCCTACTTTCGCGGTCCGCCTAAATATTGCAAGTCATCCCTCTCATTCTTATTGTATGAGCATTAAAATAGTGCTTCATACACTCAAATTTCGCTCACCACCACATCAGTCAATGCCATCTTTCAACCAAGAGGCTCTATATCTTAAAAATCGCGGAAAAAAAAAAAAAAACTCTTCAAAAAATGAAGAAAATAAAAATAATTTCTTAGAATAACATTAAAGTTTTCTGTTTTTAAAACAGCTTTTTAATAAAAAAAAATGGAAAGCAATAAAAAAGTAATGGTCAAAAGCTCTTTCAAACAAAACCAAAACCTTTATTATTCACAAAAACTACTAACCATATGCTATTTGCAAAACCTTCACTAATCTTAAAATTCACAACAAAATCAACCACTTTCATTCTCAACATTTTATCAAGTTCTCAATAAGTTGATAGTAGCACATACAAACATATCAATCTGTTAGTTTTTTTTTTTTAAAGAGTTCAGGGATTTGATTTCAGTGATATGCACAGAATTCTCTCCAAAAAAATATAAAACAACAAATACCTGTAAATCAAAGCAGCAAAAGCAAGCTTGAGATTGAGTTTTCAAACTTTAAAAGTTATATAAACAACAATATATATATATATATATATACTATTACTAACACTACTGCAAATAGACCCTTATATGTATATTGCTCATACAGGCAACAAAAAGAAAGGCAACAAGACCTTTTTGATGATCTGGTCACCTGCTTCAATGGTCTTCATATTGGAGAAAGCAATGGGCAATCTCATTAAGAAGATTTTCCCAAGAGATTGAGATCTTTGACGCGGTTCGACTGTAAAACTGCCATGAAAAGAAAGAGGGTTAGCTCCATGAATCATGGCACCTGCTTAAATGGTCTTCATATTGGAGAAAGCAATGGGCAATCTCATTAAGAAGATTTTCCCAAGAGATTGAGATCTTTGACGCGGTTCGACTGTAAAACTGCCATGAAAAGAAAGAGGGTTAGCTCCATGAATCATGGAAGTGAAAATATTGAAGTTAATTTGATTTACCTTCCTCAAGTGAGAGGTGAATTGCTCGCTTCTCCAGCTCAATAGCATGTTTGTTCAGCTCCTCGATCGAGAAATTTCGAAACCCTAGCATTGGCAAATGAATGTAGCAAGGTATTACTATTAAGTTCTGAAGTTGTGTATTGAGGAAAAAAAATAAAAGCAAAATAATCTTTGGACTATTTATGATGGGCCATTATAGAACTATATTATTGAAAGTGTCTAATTTTGTTCATTAGCATTCAAATATGAGCCAAAATAGTCTACCTGTAATAAGTGATAGAGATTTCAGCCATAGTTCATGCTATTTTCAGAACAGGTTAAAAATTAGGGTATTTTTGCAATATACTATTAGACTGGTCCAAATGGTACCAGCTCGCATGTAACAGAGACAGAGAAGTTCCGCCTCAAGCAAGTGTTGCTCAAACCGCAAAGTCCAAAAGCTCTGATTACAAAGGATTTAGGAGGGAAATTTGAAAGTAGGGGTTGTTTAGAGATTTCCTTTTGGATTGTGTGTATTAAGTAGTTTGTTTTCCTAGGGTTATGACATATTGAATTTGGCTAAAATTTGAAATCTCTCTTAGGTACTTGGGCTCTAGCCACCGGCTAGGGATTAAGAGAGCCGATCTTCCTCTCAAATTGAAGATCTATTGTATCTTGTCTGCTTTTGTTCATCTTTCATCAAATAAAATTTATTTCGTTGTTGTTCGTCTCCTTCTCAAAAATTGTTTAGAAGTGGCTGATTTTCTTGGATTTCAGCAAGGGTTTTCTAGGTTTATACAAGTGTTTTCTATCAAATTGATATTAGAGCAGATTCCTAGGCTGAAATAGAAGTCTTCCTCATTGAATTTTGCTGTGTTTCGTATCCAATTTTATTGTTTTTGCTGATTGGAGCCCATAATTCGCATCAAACTTGTTGTTTTTTGTTGTTGGAGCCTAAATACATGTTCCTATGGCAAGAAGAAAGGTAGAAGTATTGGAAGAGGAGATCAGACAATTGAAAACTGAAATTTCAGATCTTCACACCCAACTTTTAGATGTCAAAAGTCAAATTTCAGTCATCCACAAGAAGATGGACGGGAATTTTTCCAGCCTATGGGAGATGTTGAAGAAGTTGCTCGAGAGCCAATCCAAAGCGGCGTAGTCAAAGGCGAGGGAAGCCTTTGCCAACCCAGTAAGCTAGGAAAACTCTAATCCAATAAGGCAAAAGGAAGGTCAAAAGGTAGAGACTCAAAAGGGAAAAGAGAGAATACCTCCCGTAGAGCCTGTTCCTAAGGAGGAGTCGGGTAGAGGGTATTGGGAGAAGCGTAAGGAGGTAGAACATGAACAAAGAGGTGCTGAATTTGAGAGGAGAGGAGCGGGATTTGAAAGTGAAAGGGGTAATTATGACCGAAGGGGGCTGAAATTGAAAGGAGAGATTTATTATGATCCAAGTGATGCTGAATTTAGGAGAACGAGGGAATTTGATAAAAGGTTTGAGTATGAGCATAGAAAGGATGATTGGGACACTTGGGTGGAACCATCCTCTTGGGGAATGAGAAATTATGGAGGAAATAGGGGGAATGGAGGAGATCCACGGGTGAGGAAGCTAAAGATGCCTATTTTTTAGGGAGATGATGCTTATGGATGGATGTACAAGGTGGAAATATACTTTACCGTCTATAGGATGACAGAGGAGGAACTGACGGAAGTCGGGATGTGCTTAGAAGGGAAATCTTTAGCATGGCACTAGTGGAGGGAAACAAGGCGACCCATATGGACCTGGAGGAAGTTTAAGGATTGCTTGTTGGAACCTTTCTGAACCAGTAAGGAAGCAGACTTTTATGAGAAATTCTTTGCCTTAACGTGGGAGGGGATGGTGGTGGAATACCGTGAGCAGTTTGAGCACCTGGCTAGATGACTGGACTAGCTTCCGGAGACTATATTAGAGGAAAACTTTATGAAATGGCTCAAACTAGAGCTTCGAGCAGCAGTTGGAGTGATGAGGCCTCATAATTTGGGAGAGGCAATGGAGCTAGCCCAATTAAGTGAAGGATCAGATGCACCTAGAGAAAGAGGCTGGATGCAGTAGCTCAGGAGGTTCGTGCATGATGACAACCATCTTTTTGGCTCCCAAGGAGCTGACACCAGATACACTTCGGGAAACCCCAACGGAGAAGGCTATAGGTGGAAGACCTAGAGACAACTTCAGAAGTTCACATAAATGGAGTTACAGGAGAATAGGAAGAATGGGCTCTTTTTTAGATGTAAGGAGAGGTATACACTGGGGCACATATGCAAGGACCGAACCCTTCAGATTCTTACCATTTGTGATGACGAGGGAAAGGAGGAGGGTATCTTCTTTCCACCTTGAGGATAAGGTGGGTCTTTGGAAGGGGAGTATTGTTAAACTGGTCCATTGGATCGGTCCAGCCGGTCCATACAAGGCCGGCTCACATGTAACAGAGGCGGAGAAGTTACGCCTCTCGCTCTTCCAGCTCAAACCGCGGAGTCCAAAAGCTCTGATTAGGAAGGATTTATGAGGAGTTTATGAGGAAAATTTGAAAGTTTGGGCTGTTTAGAGATTTCCTTTTGGATTGTATGCATTAAGTAGTTTGTTTTCCTAGGATTAGAGCATCTTTAATTTGGCTGAAATTTAAGATCTCTCTTAGGTACATGGGATTGGGAGAGCCGGATCTTCCTCTCGAATTAAAAATCCATTGTATATTGCTTGCTTTTGTTTGTCTTTCAACAAATAATATTTATTTTGTTGCTGTTCATCTTCCTTCTCAAAAAATTTTTTGCAAGTGGCTGATTTTCTCAAATTTCAGCAAGCGATTTCTGTATTTATAAAAGTGTTTTCTATCATATACCTCTGCTATTTTCAGAATATGTTCTTAAAAAATAGGGTATGAAAATACTGAATTTTCCTTCACTTTAAATTGTGGGATTATTTTAGCTCATATTTGAGAAATCAAGGAATTAAATTAGATGCCATCAATAATTTGGGATTAAAATGACCCTCCCGTAATAATTTGGATCTTTTTCTCCTCATCAATTTGTGCTATGTAGTATAATTAAAGAGTGTGGACTTACTCTCTGCATAATTCTTTGAGCCTAACTTATCCAAGTACTGCAGACGATCCTGAAGGCGATTGAACCTCTCAGTCCAATAGTTAGTGATCTCTTTCTGAGATTCAAGAAGGCTTGGAGCTTCTTCAGCAGCCTTGTTCTGATCTTCTGGCTTCGTAGTCTGTTCCTGTTGTGTTTCAGTTTTCGACGACGCCTCAATGCTAAATTTCCTTAGCCCTGATGAGCAGGCTATCTCACCATTAGAAGTTGTATTCGTCTTTCCATGCTCAGTTTCAGGCTTTCTACGAACATAGACAAGATGACCAGTTGAACCATTAGTAGCTAGAGCTTGATTCCTAGCAGGTGGAGTTGATGAGCATTCTCCTTGTTGCCTCTTGTTACCAACTAAGTTGGCTGAATCTGAATTGTCTTGTACTTTTATAGGCTGCACAGAGCCTAATGGTGATTTCATGATGCCCCCTGATTCATTTGGCAATTCACTCAGAGACATTCTATTTATGGAGATGGGATAATGCATGTCCGAAGCAGTTGTGACATTTCTGGAACTAAAGAGTCTCTGATCAGTGAACTTGTCAGTTGTTTTTTGAACCATTGAGAGTGAAACCTCCTAGGAAAATAAAAAAAGTACTGAAGACAACCGACATTAATAAAAATTCCATAAAAGAAGAAAACTGCAAACTTGATTCTAACCATGAATATAAAAAAAAGAGAATTTATTATATAGAAGCATTCTAATGCCATGAATATTAAAAAAAGAGAATTTATTATTGACAAGCATCCTATCGATTTTTGATTTTCTATGAAATTTTGACATTGATCATTCAAATGGCTCTTTCATTATGAGTACTATTTCTAATTCAACCTTATTCTTTGATACAACTTATATCACAACCACGAGAAAGAGCTTGGAGTACCGAAGAGAGAAAAAACAATCTGACAGAGTATTAAATTTCTTTTATCAATATAAACTAATATAGAATTATTTGTTCATACATTTTCTATAACAATTTTTTCTAATATATTGAAAGAGCAATATAAAATAGGTTCGCTACTGCCTGTGGTGGAAAACACAGATTCACACCTAATTGATATACCCCTCATAGTCACAAAGTGGTGTGGGTCTTATTTCTACTATTATTTGAGGTGAAAGGCAAAATAATTAATGTGCGAGTTCAGTAGTATCTCCTATTAATATCATAAAAAGGTGAACTCTATCAGTTAATATGCACCTATATTAATCCCTATACCATATATAACATTTTACTTATATTTTTCTCACCATGAATTTACATTAATTCGTAATTTTTTTATTAACCCATTTCATTCTAATTTCACCAACTCGTTTCTAATATATATCTAAATATAAAAATTTTAAATAAAAATTTACCTTGATGAATATAAGAAAGATTCTATATTAGCTCGCCCACTCAAGCTTGGTCACCAGCTCTCCCTCAATCTCACTCTCACTTTCCCTTGACCACTTGTTTGTTCTCCATCTCACTCTCTCACTTTGACCACTCAACTCAGATTCTTGCCCTTGCTAAATTATTTGCTCACTTGGTTCCCCTTTGTCTTCTCTATTTAACAGCAAAATTGATAAAGAGTTGGTTCACTAGAATGTATAACGCATGAATATATATATATAATGGGATTTCATCTCGATGCTACGATAAGCTATGTATTTAGCAAGTAAGGCAGGCCAGAACATAACATGATAGGGTAACCTCCCACACCGGTATTTAGCAAGTGAGGCCAGAATCTCTCTCACATCCACACAAGACAGATGGAGTCAAAACTATATATATATATATATAGGCAATTGTATCATTTCAGATAGTGCACTTGCAATATTTCAGAGTTCAGAACTTCTCCAATATCATGCCATGAATTATGTAATTCAACAACAGCTTATTATGACTTTAACACCTGATTGTGATAATGCATGAAGTACTAGAATTGTCAATATCAAACCACCTTATATGCGTAAAAACCTACTCACTGAAGAGTTTACATTTCAATAACAACTTCAGAGGAATATCCAGAACAGTATTTCAAGACTTTTAAAGAATTATTATATAAATAAAAAATACCTCATTTGTTTAATATACACAAAAACCAACATAGAAAAGATCAACATGTGAAAATTCAACTTCCTATATCAACTTATTTAGAATAAAGCATACAATAACATACTAAAAGTTAAAATGTCATAAAATCCGAAAATAAAAATATACATAATATCTTCTTATAATAATGAATGATAATTATGAATAATATACTCACTAGAATTATATATCTTCTGAATATTTTCTTCATTATTATAATATTTCATTTATTTAATAGATAAATCACTAATTAAAATCATACCAGTTGCAAGAAGTATACACCAAGGCACATTGTTTTGACTATTATTTCATAAGCATTTTAAAAAAAAATACAAAAAATATACGGACTTATTGTTGATCATTGATTTAAAGATAAGTTGAAATCTTGCAACTATTTCTATTAAACTGATGTAAATAAATCTATTAAAATATGAATTATAAGCAACCTGAGTTATATACTTATATTTAATACAAAATCCTAACCAAATGTATGATATTTAAACAAATATCATAATATATCACCAAAACATCCAATAATTGTTTAAATTATCCATCAGTTTATGGCTAATAAGCACTTGATAATTTTAATTCATTTTCCATCTTTTTCAAAACTTTACAAAAAAAAAGACATAAATTTATGTATATTTATGACACAATAGTTTTATGTAAGCCTTGAAAAAATTTAATCACTTCTCAAAAATATAATTTGGCTATGAATGGTGCATTGATCATTTTATCACATGAAATAAAATAAGCCATTTTAGAGAAACAATCTATTATGACAAAGATAATCAAGTTTTGTAGAAGTTAATGAAAACAATAGTTTAAAGACCTTCCCAACATCTTCTTAAGACTTATGAGGTATATGTAAAGTTTGCATAGTTAGGTATATGTATATATATATATATTAGCTGTTTATCAAGTTTGTATTGTGAAATTCTTCAGGCTGCATTCCTTTTTAAACTTGTACACAAAAATCTATCAGTATCTATAACTATAATTTTATCCTAAACAAAATATCCTGCAATACAAGTAACATACAATTCTAACTTCTAAAACAATAAAATCCCTTGAAGACGATTCAGGAATGTAAAAAAAGTTCCCTAAAAAAGATATCCATCTTACATCATGAAATAATTATTAAGCATGGGCAATTTATTGTTTAAAATATTATATATTTCAGTGAAGCCCTTCCAGGGAGATCTATCGTTGATCAAAGTTGTACAGGATTGTTCCGGCTGGTCTCGACCGACCGGATGGTCCTGAAGCTGTCTGACATACCTTTTTTTATACTAAGTTAAGTGTTGCAGTGATGAGCAAGCTTAGGTGGATGAGTGGCTTTACCCTTAGAGATAGGATACGAAATAAGCATATACGTGAAAATGTTGGAGTAGCTCTAGTAGAAGATAAGATTAGAGAGAGTCGCCTTAGATGGTTTGGTCACATTAAATAGAGACCTTTCGATGACCCAGTTAGGAAAGTTGAGGTATTAGATTTGACTTATGTTAAGAAAGGTAGATGTAGACCTAAAAAGACGGGGTTAAAAATATTAGAAATAATCTTTCTTTATTAGATTTAAATGAGAATTTGACTTTTAATATGACACAATGGCAAAAAAGGATTCATGGAGCCGACCCATATAGTGGGACAAAGACTTGATGTTGTTGTTGTTGTTGTTGTAGTGAAGCCCTTACAGGTGGCATACTCTTTATTAATATGATCAAAGATGGTCACTTAGATTTTCATTATTTGCCAATAACTCTACTCAATGCATCAAGAAGCATATTCTTAACCCCGCATAGCATTTCAATACAATAAAGTATCCTTGCAAGTTTTCTACCTATTTAACAGGAATCAGTCCTAATTTCTTTTATGAATTCAAATATTTTTGTGCTTGATAATTAGAACATGGAATAAACTATTTAGAACAAGGTAATGTCTCTCGTATCAAAATGCTTGGATTACCACATAAAATTCTATCATAGTTTGAATATTTTTGCTCAACCTCATCCAATTTCCCAATAAAATAGTAGTGAGCATCAACATCTTTTAAAAATCTACTGCAGGCCGAAAAGAGCATTTAAATCAGTGAATGTGATGAAATGTCATTTCATTTTTTATGTCAATCCTTAATCGAGAGGTAAACCCAGAAACTGTTATTTTGAGATCTTTAATGATTTATAATGCAATAATAACTACTAAAAATTATTCAAATATTCAGTGATAGCTTTATTTTCTTGTTCTAGAGGATTTACTTCATCAAGAAGTGAATCATAATATGATAATGACAACAAAATTTTTTTAAAAGTTCTTTCTTATTACCCCAAATAATTACTGGTTTTCTACTCATTAATGAAATTGAAACTTGATTTCTTCTCAAATTTAAATGATAATTATAATGGTACTCTAACTTCTTCCATGATGATAACGATGCTAATGACAACAAATTATTATTAGTTGTATTCTTCGATTTCTTTCAATAAATGGTTATCACTGTATTTTATTAGTTTTGCACGTTAATGATCAACTCCATACAAGATGATGACTGCAAGAGATCTCAAAATCTTGTTATTGTCAAATTAAATTCCTGCTACAATAAAACCAAATTTCTATGGTGCTTTCTGTTACTGCGTTAGGGCGTCATGCCACCTCGCTTCCACTAGCTCCAAATCTTTCCTTGCTATTCATTCCACCTATGCTATTAATTGCTCCATAAGTATTTCTATAATGTGATGCTTCCCTTATGGTCGCTCCAACTCCTCGAATTTTTATCAATGTAGAATCTCCCTCGACTTGTGCTCCATGTTCATTCGCAAAGGTTGTATGTGAATAAAGATGATAGTCTTCAACCTATCTGCTCTCATTTCCTCACAAATTTTAGCACACAAATTTTAGCGAAGTCTTTTGCAAACTCATAAGAAGTTATCATCATTCTATCAAGGTAACCAACACTAATTTTTTTTCTGACAAAGAGTTCTCTAAGTTAACATCTCCTTTTTCTTTCTCCCTTGTTGGCAAGTTTCTTGGGGCCACCCCATTATGGAGATTATTCACAGATTCTCGCCTGATTTTAGTTTGATTGGAGATTACACCGCTGGGCTGTTTAAGTTATTTTTTATCAAGTTATTCTTAGAAGTTGATTATTCAAGAATCGTCAAGGAGATCATATAATGTGGAAGGATTCTCGATGTGTACTTAAGGGGGGGTCACCTCATTTCAGCAGTTCCAAGAACCTCCAATTACTCCGGTATGGGTTGCTTTTCCATGACTTCAGATTCACAACTTAAACTAATCTACTATGTATTACTTAGCTCAATTTTTGGTCGGCTACTCCAGGTGGATGTTGCTATTACTAAACTAACCAGGCCCTCAATGGCTGGGATTCTAATTGAAATGAACACCACTAACCCTTTGGAAAATAAGATTTTGTTTGGTTCCACTGCTCATGACTGCTGGCAGAAATAGAATTTGAAATCATAACTTCATATTATTCTTCTTGCAAATTTTTCAACCACAACTTCTCAGATTGGTTCAAGGAACATTCAGAACTGTGGAGATCACATGCAAAAAGGATAGAAGAAAGTATTCAACTGATAAAAACCAATCTGTTAACTTAATGACGGCACTTCCAACTACTTCTGATATGGTTTGTACACACAACTTTGAATCATCTTTAGGTCATGTCTTGGAATCAATGTCTTCTTCCATGGCTGTTAGCCCAATGATAATTATTGGCACCGCAACTACTCACATGATTATTGATCCAGCTCTTGCAAAGATTTTTTTTTTTCTCCTGATGATCATCCTATTATTGGGAATATTGGTGATTCAAACTCTCAATTTGTTAGCTTTAAGGTTAGCATTTCTAGCACAAAAGAGCTAGTAGACAAAATGTTCCAAATTCTTTATGCTATGAGGAGCAGAAATGGCAAGAAAATACATAATGGCGGCAGAGTTGGTTCTTCTAGCTCAAGCTTTATTACTGTATAGTTGCCCTTGATGGGTGTTTTTTTTTTTCAACTAGCATTTTTTTTATTGAATATTAATATTTTTTATCTTTTCTTTAAAAAAAAAATTAAAAATAGTATGATGGAGACATATAGGCTTGGCTTGCTTACATGCAATGGATAGATGAAAGTCCTTCAAAGGTGTAAATGGTACAAAAAGAGAAAAGGACCAAAATGGCCCCTCGACTCCTTAAAACGGGGCCTATATAATCCTCTCGTTAACTTTTAACGGCAAATTTGGATCTGCCGAACGCACCGCGGGGGTATAATTGGTAAAAAAAGCATAAACTTTTCATTCTACACAGCAATGAATCGTTTGAAGCCTCCAGTAGTGTCGAACCCCTGCCAGATATGACTCCCACATCTCGCAGCGGAGCAAGCATCAACAACAGCTTCAACCCAACATCCAGCAGTGCATGTCGAACGCAGTTCAAAGTCCCATGCACTCATCGACTACCACTCTCACAGTCCAACTACAATCCAAAGCCCTAATGAGCCATTGATCAAGTGCTTAGCGTCGATCGTGTCAAACACCGAGCCCTGTGATCTAGAGAGCTTCATTCGATCAGGATACCACCATTGCCACAAAAATTTAATAGAGCAAAGAGGGAAAGGCCATCGGAGATGCGAAGAACTATCAATGAAGAAGCATCACATTCACACCCAAAAAAGTTAGGGAGGGCAAATGTGAAGTTTTACTATCATAAATGTAGACAACGTGGATGCAACAACAAAATAAGTGATAAGAGAAAACATATTGAGGAGGGACATGGAGTGGTTTAGGAAGTTGTTCAACCATTGATTGAGATAGTGAATCATATCATCCCATCAATTTTATTAACATTGATAATAATTTTCATTTAAAAATGTTGTTTTCTAAACTAGCCTTTAGAGTTGTTGGAGTGTCAACTATAAATTGAACCTGCTTTGGAAATTCTCACTCAGGGATCTTCCAATACAAAACTTTTAGTATGTTGAATTTTTTTTTCATGATTGACTTTTTCTTTTGCTATGTAGATCTAATCATTTTTTTTTCTTTTCCGTAGGTTTACACCCCCAAAGGAAAAAAATCTCATTGAATGAAACTTTTGAAGCACAGGATTTATCCAAATTTTATCATTGGTTCATTTACATGCCTTCTTTGCTTTTAACAATGGGGGATCAAGAAGCCTTTAATGAATGGAATCTAACATTCAATAGTTAATACCATATGCTTCTTGAAATGTATTTTTGCTTTTGTTTGTGAATTTTTTCTTTTGTATGCTTCTTTAATCTAAAATAATGGATTAATCTAGTTAAGCATTGAGAGAATTTTTAACTACCAAAAGTTTTTTTTTTCCAATTCCGTGTAACTATCTTTGCATAGCTGCTCCAAAATTGAAAATTTGAGCAATCGAGCATCATTGATTTATTAAACTTTCTGATTATTTTTTATCCAAGATGATCTACATATTATATCTATTGATTTAGAGAAATCATATGCAAATAGATGTTAATTTCAACTAAGTAACATATATTTTTACCAATCATATTTTATAAAATAAGACTAAAATTTTTTAAATTAGTAAAATAAAATTACTAATAATTTTTTTATTAAAGAAGAGTTTAATTAATTTTTTTACAAAAATTATAATCCCCAAAAAATTACATTTATTAAGTATTTTAATTAAAAATGATTAAATTGCTCTCATACTTGACACCATCAACTCTACCATTAAATAGCAGGACCAAAAAGGTCCCATTTGGAGGAGTTGAGGGACTGGTCCCTCAAAAAAGTTGGGGACCATTTTGATCCCTCACAAAAAGTTGAGGGATCATTTTAACCCTTTTCTCGGTACAAATAGAAAGCCAATACTAATTGTTTTAAATTCAGCTTGAGGTTCATGGTTCATTAATTTATTAGAAAATCAACACTTAGCACAAATAAGAAAAAGAATAAAACAAAGCAAATGAGGCATATGGAAGTCTGTGAGCCAAAAGAATCGCTATAATATAATGTTTTGTGAAGGCTAGGAATAGCTCCCCGATTATAAAACTGCAACATCCAATGTTGGTGTGGGTCAAGTGGCATTGGAATGCCATAGATATGTGATAACATTACGGTGCACCTTTTCCATCAACTTGAACTTCCGGATTGAAGTGGAGATGAGTTTTTCCTAACATTCTCGCCTCATGGCAAAGGGAAGCCTGGCCAATAGTAGTGCTACCGCCATTTTATAGGCTTATATAAATGGAGAGAATACAAAGATTTGAAAATTTTAAGTGCCCCACATGCAAGAAAACAAAATGACACAAAATAAATCAAAGATGTCAAATATCTCAAATTATTCTCACATTCCATAAATATCAAATGTAATATCGATCAAATATTATAGTAAAATGGGGATTATATCACAAATTTAGATGAAGCATGATTGACAAAATAATTCTCCACCCATCCTATCATTCTCCTACTTAGAGATTAATTTTTTATGTGCAACCCTAAGAGAGAATCAACTCTGTGCGACAACTCCTTTGTATTAAACTGAGGGTTGGCTTTGCAATACCTTGGTTTGTTAGTGCAAAACATGCCATCCTTTACCAAATACTTGTTGTTCCTGTGCTCCTTGATACTAAAATGTTTTCTACACTTCAAATTTTTCTCTCTTAAAAGCTCCCACTAGAAAAAAGTTTTGTCTACGACTTTTTCAAAACTAACAATAGATTTCGTAATAGCTCCATCATTTTGATGTTTGATGCCATATACTTAAGACAATATTCCACAAGCTATCATCAAATTACTAAATCAAGCACATAAGCAGCATTGCACTTTGAAACATATAAAGTTAACCAATTTTATTTGTCATCAAGTAAATCAATGCCCCCTTATAGACCTTAAGATTTAATAGCATTAGCATCCCCAAAAAACATATGTCCTACAAAGTTGAGAATACTTTAGGCTACTAAAATCTTTCTCATATCTGAGAAAAACTTAAATCCATCTAACAAAATAGTAATGCCGCCCAATGTCCTCAATAGAACTGTGTTAGAGCCCCCAGTCTTACACATAGCTTTGTCCCTCGTGTAAACACGATCACCAAAACTTGGCTCATAGAAAGAAAGCATCCTCAAATAAGAACACATATGAGTCAAACAAGCTGAGTCCAAAACCCACTACTTTTACATCTATTGACATTAGTCAAAAATAGAGCACCACTAATATCACAACAAAAAAATATGGAATAGTACTTACATAAGCTAATTTTTTCCTTTTTTTGGTTATCTTCTTCAAGGCAAATCAATTTCTCTTTATTTGCTTTTCTTCCTTTAAAAGAAGCAAGTGCTCTCCTTAAGTTTGTCCAAAGATTTAAATCTTCTTCAAACCTACAATAAACCTTCAACTAGTTTATGGTCTGCCTTGAGCTTAGCAATCACCATCTTCAAAAAAATGAATTTTTGATATCCATTAAGCTTACTTTGTCATATTCATATAGATTGGTATCCAAAAGCAGTTGTCAAAAGGAGATAAATAATACAATAATAAAAATCTTTGATCAACATCATCAACAATCACATCAATAATTTACAGATATTGAATAATAGTTAAAATAATCAAGATGTGATTTGATTGGCATGTCTTTCTGTATGCAAAGAAAATACATTTTTTCTTATGGTATAATTCGTTGGAGAGACTTTTGAGTTTTGACCAAGCATAAAGACTCCAACGTAAGTCACAAACTTTCAACAGTTATTTCCCCCAAGACCTCCATTGAAACCTCATTCATCAAACATAAATGAATTGTCGGGAGAACTTATTATACACTTATACTATGTCCTACATATCGTCACATGAATCTTTATGATTTCTTTCACCAAACTTTGTTAGGCAAGATCTCCGAGCATCTTGTTCCAACAAAACTTAAGGCATTTCGAACCACGGAGCATTACGATCTCCAACTTTACAGCCATGGCTCCGTTTTTCATGTAGATCTCAAAGCTAACCAATGCTAGTTTTTGAGTAGAGATGCACACCCAAGCAATAATAAATAACCATGCTGAGAGAATAATAAAGCCTACAATGAGAAAACGCCAAAAAATTACAACCACAACAAGCCGTTCTCCTATTATGTGGGGGCTGGTACAAAATCATTTTTCTCCATTATGTCCTATTAAGAGCCAAATTCTCATTTAAATCTAATAAAAATATCATTTTAATATTTATAACCAAGTCCTTTTAGATCTACATCTATCTTTTTTATTATAGATTAGATCTAATACATCTAATCTCCTAACAGGGTCATCAGAATACCGACATTACCGACATTACGTGACCAAGCCGTCTACGATGACTCTCTCTAGTCTAAAGCATCAAAAAATTAACACAAGAAAAATTGTGGTTCAATGAACTCTAGTTACATCCACAGCTACACAAAAAGGTTAATTCACATAATTATAAAGACATTGTGGCCTATCCACGGACCCCTTTCTCTTTTTTTGGGTCGTCGATGAGAGTTTTAACATTTAAGTTCCGAGATAAAATTTTCAAAAGGCAGATTGGGTTTTAGATAATACACTGCCTAGAGATTTTGCCCTCATTTTACAAGGACTTTATGATCTAAGTTCAGGTTTCCTATAGGCACAAGCCCCTATAGTTAATTACCCCTCCCAATAACAAAAGAGAACTTTCGAATAAGGCTAGTGGTAAAACATATACGTAAAGGTACATAGTAACTAATGTATAGTAGCAGCGTGATTTGGTATCTGAAATTTAATATTTAAAATTAAAAATTATCCATCTTGCACTTAAAGTGGATGGTAGGGAGTATGATGATGAACCAAGATCCCATGGTTCTGTTGTCACAGGTCATCATGATCCCTGATCTACTTAGCTAGAAAAGGTAGTCGAACAACCTAACAGAATGATCCATGTCGGCAGTCGTGGGTTGCTTCGTCCAATGGCACCTTGTAGACCTTAGGTGAATATTTGTTTAAGAGAACAAGTCTGATTCACCTTAGCTAACAGAGGACATTGTGCCCTATCGATTACATACTATTGATTCATATCTCAAGTATTTGAGTCATTAAGGAATATATGGGCTCTGACCATGACAGTAATTTAGTGGTCCCATTTGGTAGCAAAATCATCCTGTTCAGAGGATTCCAGTCATAATCATTTACCTGTTGTGTCATTTGGCGGCGAAACCACCAATTGTAGGACACATGTCACGTCCTTATTGGTAAGATACTATTTAAGAATGAATCCAAGTGATATTTTTTACCAGACATTAGCTCTTTCTGAGCTGAAGTAATTTTCAAATTTGTCCACTTCGACAAATTATTGTAAAAGATGGATGGATTTTGCTTTAAGTATTTAATGATTTATTTCAATTTTAAATATCTTAACTTTGAGGTAATTTTTAGAATTTTAGATTTTCATGTGCATTTGAAAATTTGAGAGGCATTTTTAAGTATTTATAGTCCCCTCCGATTGAGATTTTCTATCCGGGTACTTATGGGCACTTTTTCATTTTATTAGTTGATTCTTGTTGACTCTATTAGCCTAATGACATAGGATCGGATTTTTTGTATGCTTTAGGCATTTATTAGTGAGTTTTCTTGTTATAGATCTTAAACGTCTAATATGAATGTAAAAAATAAATATCCCGGTCAGCACTACGACCATATATTTGCTTAAAAACTCGAGCCGTGTTGACTCCTACCTATTTATTCATGTAGAAAGATCAGACTCGAACATAAGTTCATTTATTGACCCACGCAGCATCCTCAGATGTCATGTGTATTATGTCCATGTTCATAGGGAATATCTCACCCTTACAATATATCTACCACTGTTCCTTAGAGGCAAGCTGATATGTTTATTTGCAGATTGATGCTAATGAGCTGCATTCGTTATCGATTTCCTTATACATGTTAATCAGCAAATTGCTACGTTTGCTTCATGTTAACATTCAGTGCACATAAGGATTAGCATGCTTATCCTCATGTTAATTGGAGCCAACCATATGGATGTCACTACATTCATTGCACATTGACTATTTAATCTTTGCTTGCCAACAAGCAATGTTTGGAGCTAAGTGGTATTGAGTATGCGCAAACTTTATTTACTTTGAATTCATAAAATTCATGACGTCATTATGCTCACTACGCGTCAAATCCCTCTACTTGTAGGGGGGCAGTTGTATTTGCTTGCATAGTTGATGCGAGTATTACATGTCCACTGCTATCATACGCAGGTAATTTACAATATTATTCAGGGGCTTGTTACATATATTTGCAATCATATTATACATTCAATTCAATTCCATTATTTGTTGAGTTCAATGTGCTTGTGTATTTGTTGGCGAGTATCGACTGTTGAAAGACTGCACTTCAACCTAAAATTGATATTTCTTCGATGGATTAGTACATTCTTCAAGAATTCCTTCTTTGTGGTGTTTGCAAGTTACTTTCTCTTACTTGCAGATTAGTAGGTTGAAGGTCACAAGTCGCTTTAAATTTTTTATTATTCATCGTTCGTCCTCGCTTGCATGATTAATTTTTTTATTTTATAAAATCACATGTTGTATATTAGATATTAGGTTATGTTCCCTATAATTATGAGTTCAGCTCAAGTCCCCTACATTTCTTGGTTTAAGCCGAGTTTTCTGTGTTTTGTACAAGCCCCCCCCCCCCCCCCCCCCAACTCGTGTTCGGATATGGCGTGGGGGTGACAGGTTGGGCACTGAGGTCAGAAGGATTGTGTTTGTTTGGAGAAGCAGTGAGGGAGGAGGCGGAATCTAGAGCTTGCAAGGAGCACCAATGGGTTGCTTTGGAGGAACAATTATTACGTCCTCTGACCTGACGTAGAGGTACGTTCGGCGCCAATAACATGTCGCCACATGCTCTTACTCTTTTACCGTGCGGCCCGACGACTTGACCCGAGCGGAACCCGGGAATGCTACGTTCGCAATTTTCTCGGTATTGCTCGGTGCGTATTGCTTTGCAAAAACGAGAAATACCCTCTGTGAAGACCAAAACTATACAAATACCGAGTTGTACCGAGTTTTTCTACAACTCGTACAACTCGGTATTTGCTCCGGATTTGCTCGCGTATTGCTACGGATTTGCTCGGTATTGCTACGGATTGCTCGATATTGCTATGGATTTGCTCGGTATTACTAGAAAAAACTCGGTACAACTCGGTACAACTCAGTATTTGCTCAGGATTTGCTCGGTATTGCTAAGGATTTGCTCGGTATTGCTAGAAAAACTCGGTACAACTCGGTACAACTCAGTATTTGCTCAGGATTGCTCGGTATTGCTAGGGATTTGCTCGGTATTGCTAGTATTTGCTCGGTATTGCTAGAAAAACTAGGTACAACTCGGTATTTGCTAGATATTTGAAATATATCCAAAAGGTGATGGGATGTGTTTCGGCTCGTCAAGGAATTAAAAAAACGCACGCGCTAGAACCCAAAAACAGCGGGTCGGGTCGGCGACTTTTCTTCGTGCTACGTGGCGCTAAAACGTTGGTGGGTGGAGAGCAAGTGAGGGAGGAGGCGGAATAGAGGCTTGCAAGGAGCACCAATGGGTTGCTATGAAGGGAGTTTTGCGATTAGTGCGCCGAAGAGGAGAGGAATTGAATCCTTTGTTTCAACGTGTTCTTAATAGCGAGAGCAGGACTCGAACAAGGCAAGAGTTGTGGGATTTACGGGAGGAGACATGAACTGATCAGCTGCCAGTGTCGACGGAATTTTCGGGATATCTTCTATAGAACCAAGGTAATTAATTAAACTGATTTTCTGATTTTTTTTTTATTTTGATTTGATTTTTTATTAATCATTAAAATAATAATAATATTATTATTATATTATTATTATTATAGCAATGAATTAGATGTTCGAACGTCTTGGAATTCACACATTTATCTTTCAACTTGCTTGAGTTGTTTTTCAAAATCAGCGCATTTTGTCTCAGGATACACGTCGATTTCCTCGTGTGATTCTCTTTGGGCAAAATTGCAGTTGATTTTGGGTATTGTCGACATTTCGAATGCAAAGGCAAAGTCTGTTTGCAATCGAATGTCGTTTGGGCAGCAACGCACATCATTTTCGAGTGTTGGTCACCGACTTTGACCATTTTCGTCCAATTTCATCTGCGAGGTGTTCCGTCTTAGGCTAATTCGACTTCTTATCGCAATGGTGCGGTCTGTTTGGCAATTGAAGGTCGTTTGACCCTTCAAGTGATGCATCATACGTCAATTTCACCTCGTTTCGTGTGTTTTTGCGTATAGAGGTTAATAGCGCTGAGTGTAACAACCCGAAGATATGAAAAGTATTTTAAAATAAAAAAAGAAAATATAAACTTTTGTTTCCCTATTGAAAGCCACATGTAATAGTAATGATAATGATATAACGATACAATGAATACAAATGAAATGATAAAAACACCACATTAAAGTCGGATGTCCTCCTTAACTGAATCATATACTTATGCATATATAAATTGATAGCATTGATAGATAGATTCGTAATGTGTGTATAGATAGCATATGAATTGATACATGTACCGATTGCATATGTTGTGCATATGATGTATAATAGACGAGATGGATAAGACTAATGACATTGACACATGTATGCTTATGATTCATCTACAGACTCATGTATAATTTTAACACCTATGTGTTACTCTTTACCATACTGATTTACAAATCACTGTCATTGATTTACTATTTATTAATTCATTGTTATTATCCTACTTTCATTGTACTATCACTGAGCACATGAACCCTATTACTGAGCACATATATAATATATAAGATATTGATTAGATATTGATATATAATAACTAAACTTCATATATATACTTCTATATGAATTCACTATATCGAAATGATTTTCGACTGTTTTATAGATACTTTGGTTTTTTTCTGACTTACTGATCACCAACACATTTATATTCTTGCACCTGTATTGATTTATAGATTTAAGTGTAATGATTCATGCTTTTATTATTGATCGTATTGAATTGTACTAGTGATAACTAATCATTGATGATATTGAATGTTGTTGATTATATTGACTGAGATGAGCATGCAAATTGATTCTTGAGTTTTGCATTAGAAACTTTAATGATGTTTAGGATTTATGTTGGATTTTGTAAGTTGATTATATGGATTTTAATTATTTCAGGTTAAGGAATGGGTCAGGACTGTATGGAGTAAGAATGATTGAGATCTTTAGGTTCTTTTTTATTTTGTTCTATATTTTTTTTTATCCTTTTGTATTCATGAGCATGAGATAAATTATGGATTGTAAGTGATCTCCTAACAATTGTAAATGTAATTTTGGTGAATGAATAGTAAAATATTTTGATGTATATGATTTTAGTTGTCTCCGCTTGATTGATTTATACTAATGAATTCATAGAAACGCTGGTTAATTATTTAAACGATTAAAATAAATCATTCTTCCAAATTTGATCATGGGGCATGACAATAAGAACATAAGAGTCCCTCCCTCTATATATCTCACGAAAGCTTTGCTAATCATGACTAAGTTCAGGGAACAACGACCTACCAAACCTCTTCATAAGTCCTCAATCTACCAACAAACATAACTTAAAATTAGCCTGCATCACCATTAACCACTCCCTACCGTCCATCGTCGACAACCAACAGTAGTCACCAAATGATGCTAAGAGTTCATCCATCAACACAAACAATGATCTGTCAATTCTTAGCCGCTTTTAGGAACCCAAAAGCAAGTTGTGTTTTCTCCTCTTTCCTGTGGCAAGTACCAACTTCCATAGTTATCTTAGTTAGCTTTTGACGTCGGATTACATAGCCCTTACCTAAGGATCCTTTTATAAGTGAAAAAATGCATAGAATTGAAAACTTTAGTGCATGTTTGGCATCACTTTTCTATTTTTTTAACAACAGCCAGATAATTCCCTTAATTCAACAGTCCTCCCTCCCCAAGGTCTCAAAGCAAACCCAATAATTTCCCACTTAAGCTTGTGCATAATGGAGATTGTTGTTCTTTTTATGGATTTATAGCTTTATAGAGCATGCATGATATTAACTTGCATAAAGAAGGAAAGCCAAAAATGTGGGTTCGTAGGTTTAGCACTAGCTAGACTATTCCCTTAATACAATAGCCCTACCCAAGAATTTAATGCCAACCCAACCATGTTAAACATTGTCTATATGACAGTGGATGCAACTTCAAGCACCCATCAAGATGCTGCAAACTATAATTTATGGCATTAATTCATTATTCCAAAGGCAATTTATCAAGTGGACACTGAGTAAAGAAGTCATATTTAGTACTTAAAGCTTACATAGCTACCCCAATAAAATACTAAGGCAATAGATTCGCATCCATATCTATGGTTCTAGCATCTGAAAAAACTATAAAATGGAGCTTTCTTACAAGGAATTATCTTTAAGATAAGTTTGGATTAAAAATATCAACATGTGAAGTGTGAAATCTAATTTCCTTAATATCTTGGATAAGATTTGATCTTGATTTTTGAAGAATGATGATCGCTAACTTAGATTCATTCACACTTAATTATTTCAATATAAATGCTACATAACTCAATTCACACTTCATTTTCCAAGATGGTGACTACATAAGCCATATTTAATTTTCCAAGATGGTGGCTACCAAACAATATAAATTAAGAGATTGTTGCATTGTATTGATACATCCCACAATCATAATAAAATAAAAAAATGAGAGAAGAGAAAGAGATGAAGGGCGAGAAGAAAAAGTTCTCGCAATAGATAAACGAAAAGAGAGTGATAAGCATTATCAACCTCTTATTCTCCGAGTTTAGCCATCATCTTCATAACAGGCGATTGTATTCCATCTTAATTGTAAACACAAAGTGGTATATTTGTCAATATTCATATGAAGTATAATATCTCTTCATATACCTCTATAAAAGTTTAGTGGAGTATTTCATCTTTGTGGAGCCGTGGATGCAGGTGAATATCATCAAACCGCAAAAAATTATATATCTTAAGTTTGAGATCTTTTTGTGTGCTTGTTATCTCATCTTCATTTAAGTTTGCTCAAATTTTTATAACTTCCCTAACTCCACATTAGTAAATGCTTGAGAAATATCAAATTTAAAGAACAAAAGGAGTTATGACTGGTATTTATATCCAAAATTAAACAAATAGACTACCGTAAACATCATAAAATGTGTATATTTCATAAGCTAAGCTCCCAACAGTTTTCATATCAGATCAATAGTATGCTGGATACTCCTAAAAAACTTTGAGTCTTGGGAAAACATGATAATAGCAGAAAATTCTATAGAGGAATGTCAATTTTCATGCCATTGATTGCCATTTTAAGTTAGACTCATGAAAAGCACACTTTGTCGGATTTTATAGGGCATGACAGACATCAATTACAAGATAAATTTACATTCTAAATTTACATTCACTTATCAGTTCCACATTGAACAAATTAAATAAACTACAACGGGACTATCAACAAATTCTACTACTAGCATTAGAAACCAAGGCGGCTTATGAATTGCTCTACGCCAATCCTCTTGACTCCGAAGGCAATACGAGGAAAAAAACATCAAAACATACAAGAGGCTTAACAAAATTTAAATACATTTGATGAATTAGCTAATGACACTTTCAAAAATCTAACATTGCCTGCCTTTTTAAAATCACCACCATTTTATCTCAAAATACTAAGAGAGAGAGAGAGAGAGAGAGAGAGAGAGAGAGAGAGAAGCAGCTTTTATTCAATGACAAGCAAATATATTATGGCCGCTAATAGAAGCATGAGACCTATTGATTAAATCGGCACTTAATTTCTCGCACCCTTTTATCGAGCAGGCCCCAACAATCCCTTACAGCAGGTAAATCATACCTTAAAATTACCATACTAATCGCATTACAGGCCAAACCAAAATTTATAATTCAAACAAATATGTAAATTTACGCCGTGTACAAGGAACAGAACACATCAATCCGAACTATTCCAGCACCGCCTACAAGCAACGCAATCCAACACCAAAAAACCAGACAACTTAAAACTTTCCACTCCGAAGCACCTTAAGAAACAAAAAAGAAGATAACTTGAGAATCCATAATCCGCCCGATAAGGGAATTTGACCAGATACTCAGAAACAAGCAGAAAATTAGAAAACAAGTGAAGAAAAGAGAGGATTACCATTGCCCTAAGACATTGCGAACGTTCGCCGGCAAGGAGCGAGCAAGCGGAGGAGAGAAACGTAGTATCAAAAATAACAGGAGAAGCTTCGTTCCAACGGATTGAAAAGGAAACCCTCAACTCCTCCCGCACACCTCTATTGGTTCCTTCTGCTCATTAGCTGAGCTGAATTCTGTATATATCATTTCGTAAATAAATGGGACGTTGGCGATGCAGGCCGCGGGGGACACTTTTGCAATTATGGCAATTGTATGTGCTTTTTTGAAATGAATGAATCCATATAGAAAAATCAGGACAAATAAGCATTTAGGCTCTAATAGTCTATTTAGAAGGTAATATTTATTTTTTTTAATTAGTTATATTTGAGAAAAAATCATTAAATTAGAAGGGAATTGCTAATTTTAATATTACACTAATTTATAATTATATTAAAAAAATAATTATGTAGTAATTTCTAATAATATTCAATAAAATAATGAAATCTAATCAAATTTATCACATTATGCTTCTCAATTCTCTTTTATAATTCATATTTAGAGCTTCAATTTATCAATATGGCTTTGCCTTCCATGATGAGTAAATATTGGAAGAATGTTTTTTTGTGTAATAAGAAGAGAGATTGGAAGAGAGCTTAAGGGTGGAAAGTGCTTCTTATATTGTTTTTTTTTTTAAATAAAATACAATATCTTTTAGTATTTTTCATTCAAAAAGATCACATCACATATTCATCTACAACCTAGAAACATGAGCTATGAAGAACAAAAGCATTCATTATTATAACTTAGACTCTGAGCTATGTCAGGAGCTCTATTTTCACATCCATTGTGTTTATAGCTAAGTGATCCATCATGTTCAATAAATTGATTAAAATAGTTCTATAATTAGTACGGTATGCAATTATTATCACATTTGAGCTTAAGATTTGAAGGACTACTTATATGACACTTACATGTAGATCTTCACCAACTACTAATTGTAGATTTTACACTACATGATCACAAAAATGAACGTTATCATTAACATGTTTAGTTAAAAACAAAATTGAATTATGAGGTGTCAACTAGATAGCATAGCCATGAAATCTAAATTGAGAGATCACCTAGCAAGGCTCCAGTTCCAAGGCTCGAGTTTAAGACCCTACTTTAGCCAAATAGATTTGAGAGGCTAGTAGAGGAGAATAAATGTATTTTTTGAGAGGATGCAACACTTAGATAGATGATTATGTATGGTAGATAATAAAGTTTTAAAACAAGTTATACTGAGAAGTTTATTATTTCAAATATATTGTCAGAATTCATAAGATGCATTAAGATTTAAAGACCCGCTTCTTGTGGCCAAGATCAAAGAAACATTTAGATGAGTTCATGAGCAAGTGCATTATGTAGGCTCTAGCTAGACCAAGGTTCTTGTGTTTAATATGTAGGCTCATCTTTATACATCATTTTGCAACTCATGTTCTAATGTCATGTATTTTATATAACCATTGCAAGTGCAATAAATGAAAATTTTAGAATGTAAAAATCAATAAGTTACTATAAAAAATTATGATATAAATAACATTTGCCAAATATCATGGTTTGATAACTTATAAAGATGCATTGAAAGTTGTAATATGCTTACTTATAAGCATAAACTTATCCCATGATTCCAACTTTACTAAGGCACATTTGGAATATGATTGATAATTTAATTGTTTATTTATGGTGTAACATTCCTATAAAAATTCCATAACATACATGTGCCCTATTTTTGGAATAAAAAATCAAATAAGTATATTTATCTTTCCCTTTCAGATTTATTCACTCCTAATATCTTCTTTGGATTTGAAAAACTATTATATCAACAACCTTTATTCAAATAAAAATCACCTCTTCTCTTGGTCAATATGATGTCACCTAAAAAATTACTTAAGTTTAGATCTTCAAAATACTTCTTATAATAGCCTGAATTTTGATTCAATCAAATAAATTTTTTTATGGAGTCAATATAAGTCTAAAGCGCAAACCATCTTTGTCAAAGCATAGATATTATAGTATTTTAATTATAATATTTAAAAAAAAAATACACTTATATATATATATATATTTCTATTATTTTTAAAAATTTAAATATATTTATAAGAATTTTTATGCTAAAAATTGATTAAATTATATAGTTATTTTATTATTTGACATTTAAAAATAATGTTTTAGTTCAATTAAAATTTCATAATATTATTTTGCATGATCTCTGGTTATTTGATTAATTTCTAAAATAGAATTTTTTGCTTGGTGGGGTTTTTTGTTGCTTACCATTAAAAGAACAATTATATTTTAATTTATGTTATGCATTGAAAAATTAATGTGGATATGTGATTGAGTAACAGCTGGTTGTTATTATTGCTGAATATTGTGATAGTAATATGTATGAAAAATAAGTAAAGACTAGTTTTTACTAATGTTGGCTAGGGATTAATTGATTTGTACAATATGATGGGCTAACAAGATTTCCTTTACATATTATGATTGGGTGTTATCTTTTATTGATTCACATGATATAATGATTAGGAGTTAGCAAAAAGTGACAGCTCTATTTATTGAGCCAACAAGCTACTGATACTGACACTGATATTAAAAAATATCATTGTAGCTATGACTTTTACTTATTTAATATGATTATTTGAATGCATGCTATTGAATCACTGCCACTATACGACTTTACTGTTATTGACACCATGATGCTAGTGTTATTACTATTCTACTGTTATTGATACGTTAATCACGTGATATATATTGAGCATGTGTTTTGGACACTAACACAGAGTTGGCATTGATATAATATTTCTGAGCATGTGATATACTGATACAATTATTTTCATATAATTTTACTACATTGACATGATTTCGATAATCTTTATTCATATTTTAATTTTCTGATTTATATGATTTCTCTATTGATTGCAATATTGATATGATGATTACTTTAGTGATTTCAAAAATATATTGGTTTACTGATTTCTCTATTATATTATCCAATAATAATGTGCATACTACTGTTATTATTTGGCTACTGACATGCATATTAGTTCTCTACTGTGTGTTGAGGTCAATAATAAGATTTGATTTCTAGGTGGTTATTTAGTTCATTATATGTAATTAAATAATTTCAATTCATGGCTAGCGAGCAACAGTATGAGATTAACTAGGATCCTTCATATTTGGGTTTCTTTTCTTGTTATTTTAATTATTTTAGTTATTCTTTTGTACTAAGGATAAAATAGTTGTGATATGATCATATAAATCATGAGTAGTGTATATGATTTTTGTGAATGAATACATATGAGTCGAACCCGGAACTGACCCGGCACTGTTCGGGCTCGACCCGTTTTTAAAAACGGGTAAGATTTCCAGACTCGAACCCGACCCGATTCGGATCCGAGTCAACCCCACCTGATTCAGGTCCGGGTTAACCCCACCCGACACAAATGACCCGAAGTTAACCTAAAATTGCTAATTTTCTGGTCAATATTCAATTTTCAAGTCAAAATATGGTTAAAAACGGGTCAATCTTGAATTTCAGGTCAAATATGAGTTTTCATGTCATTTTCGGGTTGCTGGGTCAACCCGAACCCGACCCAATTTTTAAAACGCGTTGATTTGTTCAACCCCCCGACCCGTTTCGGGTTCGGGTTGACCCGAACATGGATTTTTTCTGGTCGGATTTCAAGTCGTGTCAAAAATTGACACCCCTAATCACAGCCTCAAATAAAACTGACTTAACACATTATACATTTGTTGAATCTACGCTAATATTTTTGTGTGAAAAAATATGTGTGTATATATATACATATATGAATGATCAAAATCTACCTAACACATGTAACATGTTTGATAGACAATTGAAGCAAACTAAGAAGAAGTTGAGAAAAAATAATGACTAAAAATAGTTAAAAAAATATAAAATAATTTCATGTAACATTACATTGACACTCAATAGATAAAACAAAAGGATTCCATGTAAAAGCCGAGGAGATTGTCAAAACGATAGCTTCGTTTGCAATGATTTTTTTACTATTTTATAAAATTATTTTTTTAAAACAAAAATATCTTTAAAGTAAGAAAAAAACAATAATCTAAAACCGTCACAAACAAAGCCTAAAACTTTGCAAATCACCAGGCAAATATCCCGTTATATCTCATTAAGCAATCATGTAATTTTTCTTAGAGTGAATTAAATACATAACCATATCTTAATCATTTACAAAACTAACACCTTTACTATTTTAATGAACCATCAAATTGCTACATTTACCTTACCATAATTAAATTATAAGAAATTTAAAAAATAAATAAATATAGAAGGTACAAATTTTATAAATAACAAAGATCAGAATATCATGTACGCAATTACCCCTTTATTTATTCACCATATTTCCAAATACTTCTCAAATTATGAAGTTCTGAGGGAACCAAACATCGAAGGCACCAATCACAGCTGAATCTTTAACATGAGTATATACAAAAGCTATGCGTTTATAACTTTTATCATTCAATAATAACAAGAGATGAAAGTGAGAACAACAATTTTAACTCCCGCAGCGATAAATAAAAGAACAACAATTAGCTCTCAGACAATACCTTCAGTTAATTCCAATGCCTCTGAATAATGAAGCTGTGAGACAGCCATATAAATACAAGGGAGAAACCTTATAGACCCACTAATACTTCGATTTGACGTTGGGATTGGGAAGAAAAATATTTCTTTCGGACTCTAATGACCCAAATTGCCCAATAGCCTCTCCACAGCAGCGTGTACATTACCAGAAGTAGCAATAAGAGCACGAAGGTTCTCCTGGGTGTCGAAGAAGCCCATTTCCTGAAGCTGAGCAAGTTGAGTTGCGTAGAGCTCTTCAGGAGGGGCTGCAGGTAAAGAAATTTAGTTTACTATGAATGTAAAAATATCATTTGTGTAAGGCAATTTTTTTTTTTAAATATAAGAAATTCTTAAGCGCAAGAAAGTATGATTACCATTGTTAGTGGGAACACCGAGATTACCACCTGCGCCGAGTCCACCGAACATCTGCATCAAAAATTCCATTCCTGTGTTGCCTGACATAGCAGTTGTTAAAACATGGGAAAAAATAAGTTTGCAGATCGATGTACGGCTAGACCACGTAAAAACAAAGAAAATAATTTATTGGACAAGATAATGATTCAGGTTGCAAGATTATGACGGGGAAACAAACATGGCCTGAGGAGGCCTAATTATAAATTGATATAATTGAAAGAACCTCGACCGAGCGTGTCTTAATTTAGGGATTCCAGTGATTTTTCAGGAGCCAAATTAATTGGTAGATAACATGCCATCCGGGGATTCATTATCATGATGTTCTGCTCCTAGTCCAAAGTTTTGTGTAGGTGACTTTTTAAATACTTTATTCGGTACACTTAAGTTCAATACATGATCTTTGCATTCATGTTTTGAACATTTATCTTGTAAGCATTAATTTTGAAGATGTCCAAAAGTACTAATTCCTAAGTTCTTGCCATGAGCTCAAATGTTTTGTTTATTATGAATTTGATATAGTTTTATGAAAAAGTTTAGTAGTGCCTCTATCTCGCCCTCAAAAAGAGTCTTGCAGGAAGACTGCCAAGCCATGCCACCATACAAAGAGTGGCGTGCATGGTGCAACACAGGAGGCACTGCAACCATAATTTATGTTGACTATGTTACCCACACTAAGAAGGACAAGCCCAATAGTGCATAGCTCTTAGGCAACTTAATCCCACCCTCGTCAAGAAAGACTAGCAAAGGGACTTGAACTTGTGCCTATAAATGTTAGCAAAAATTAGAATTCATTTATTTTTCAAAATTTAAATTGTGTCTTAGCATCGCCTCAAGGGGTGATAAAATGGTGTATTGGGCCATCACAATTTATGTTGCCTATGCTACCCAACCAAGATATGTGAGCATAAATAGCACATAGCACCTAGGTGAAACTTCCTTTAGAAATTTCATAGCACCTTGACATAACCCTCATGTGGGAGTTATTGAATATAGTGTCCAGCAATCCACACAACATTAAGAAAAGCATATGTGGGTCTAGTGCCAATGACTCAATGAGCGACCATAATCACTTCTGTTACTTATGCTATCCAATCAAAGCAGGAATGATGCATATAACCTGGCCGGAATTCCCTTGTTTTTGCTTACTCCTTTTTTTACTTGATGATTTCCTTCCTTCCTTTCTTCCTTAATAGCTTGATTTCTTCCTTTTCTTGTTTGCATGCTTATTTATTTCATTACTTATTTCCTTACTCCTTGTTAGCTTCTTTCCTTCCTTTATCCCTTTCTTCCTTCTTACGTCCTTTCTTACACGCTTTTACTTCTTACCTCCTTACATGTGTAGCTTTACTAAATATTAATAAGTATATTTATGTATCCCTCATATATGATGCTATTTATTTTATTTGATGCCTACATGTGTACATACTCCCCGATTACTTTTTTTTTTTCCTTACACACGACAATTTAATCCCATCATGACTTTTTAGCACGATTGAGGGCAACAGGTTGGTGACATTTCACTATGCAGTCGCTTCCAAGGGTGTCGAGGTGGACCACTTCCCAACATTGCAAACAGAGTCAAAAGATCCAGGTCATCTCGCTTGTTCCAATGTCCAATCATGGATCAATATTGGCGTCAAAATCAATCAGAAAAATATTAGGCTAGAGGCTAACAGGGTTGAACAAACAATACAAAATTAGATTTGTTAATTGTTCAGCCACCATGAACTTCATATCAGGATATATGTAATTAGTCAACTCAGCTACATGTACATAGCAGTGATGTCATCATATAAACTACAAATAAAGTCAATACCTGTGGCACCAGTGGTCTGGTTCTGCCCCCTGCAACATACAGGATAAAGTATTAGGAATGAGTCGCAGTTTAGAAACAGTTCCATTGAGAAATATTTTATAAAACACGTAGTAGAAGTCTGAAGTCTTATAAGAAAAAAAAAGATCCTGATAGAAGAGAACGGAGACACTCAAAGGTAAGACGTTGTAACAATTAAAATTTTTAATATGTAACACAGTATTGACTGTTTTTATGAGTATTATAACAAACAGTTAATTTTTATTAACTTTCATGATAAACAACCAATGAAGAAAGAGAACTAGGACAAAGGTCACTACTGTGCAAAATGTTTCATTAACCAGAAGACTCCATAGTTTCAATGACTGGATGTAACCCTTCCGATCTGAAATCGGAGGGAGAAACAAATAAAAGAATCCAAAGCACAAACGGAAAAAAATGAAAAATAAAAGTGATCGTAGGAGGGGTAAACAGGGCATTACTGGTTTGACTGTTGCCGTCCAAGCACTGAGGAAAGCGACTGTTGCAAAGTCAGAATTTGCTACATTAAACAAAACAAAGATTAAACAATAGCAGAGTAATAATAGCAAACTTTGAGAATTGGATAGAACCTGCAGTGTTTCTGGTGATGCTAGCTGGCGAAGAAATTCAGGATTTTGCATCATGTCTCTCAATTGTGTATTTGATTCCATCATGGCACGCAACTGTGGGTTCATATTAAAAATCTAACAGAAAGTAATCAAACGATAAGTAAAATGCCATTTAGGTCACCGATTGTCATATCATATGAATAGCTAAAAACCTGGTTAATATATTGTGGGTTCGAAAGTAGAGATTGCATCATCTGTGACATGGCTGGATTTTGCAAAACCTGACTAAAAACTGATGAATCTGGCAAGCCACCAGCCATTCTTTCCAATTCTGGAGTACCAAGACCACCTAGGCCAGCAATGCCACCAGTTCTTGAATCACCCACTGTTGTCGATCTGGTATTCGTTTGTGTACCTCCAGCTGCCAAATAAATTATGTACTGACGCAACTATGAACGGATTGACAATCATATATGACAAACACTATAAATTTATATGCATACCAATATTGTTCCAAGGATTAGGAAGCGGGTTAGTATTAGGCAAAGGAGATCCATTTGCAGCATCTGAACTAGCAGTGGAAGTATTTGTTGGCCCCCTAGATTGTGTGCTTCCTTGGTTTCCCAAAAGGGCTGCAAAAGGGTTCAAACCTGCATCACTTCCTGCATTTCCCTCCATGGTTGTTGCGTTAAGGAATGGCTCCTGCACAGTTTCATACATTCGCCTAAGCATATTAAATCCTTCAGGTGAAGATTCAATATTGCTCATGGCTCTGTCAGTATTCCGCATCATTTCTCTCATTAATTCAGGATTTCTGGCAGCTTCCAGAGTCTGCCTTAAAGTATTGGGATCATTTAGAACGTGTGCAAGATCAGGATTTCGGTCAAGTATCTCCCTTATTTGTGGATTGCTCATGATCAGGTTTCGCATCAAGTCAGGATTATTCATCAAATTTTGGATTGCTGGCATGTTCATTATATCCCTCATCATATTTGGGTTCTGAGCAAGTTGCTGCTGCACCTGATCAAATTCTGGAAATCCGGTTCCAAACAAGCCAGAAGCCCCAGAACCAAAAATCCCATTAGAACCCAGTCCAGGGAAAAGTGAGGCACCAAGTTCAGCACCACCCAATCCTCCGCCCTCATTGGAACCAGGAGAAATTCCAGTTGCTGCAGTGTTGTTTGTAGGCGGTGCTCCAAGGCTGGCCGCAGTATTGTTTGTAGGCGATGCTCCAAGGTTCGTGGCAGAATTGTTAGAGGTAGTTGATAGTGCAGCACCACGTACCAAGTGTATTGTGTGATCCGACTCCAAGCCTATTTAAAGATTAGATTTTCATGATTCAACAGATCAGAAACAAAAAAAATGCTATATGAGACCTAGAGAAACATTAGATTTTCTAAATCAGATATCATGAACGGACCAACTGTGAAAATGATCCCAAAAAAAAGAGTTGAGCAGTAGAATAACACTACACTTGGTACGTGGTATTAGAAAAAAGAAAATCTTCCTGCACTCTCCGTCTAACACTTGGTGGAGAGTGTACGTGATATTCAACAAAAAGAATTATCAACTTCATTTTAGAAAAAAGTGATTCTTCCTGCACTCTCCGTCTAACACTTGGTGGAGTGATCTTGTGTCTATACTCATGCATGTACTGTGGCACTTTGTATCTTTTTGGTCCAAGAAGACTCAACTTCTAATGTTGCAAAAACGTATCAACAGGTACAAGAAAATATTATAAGTTATAGGAAAATCTATTACCTTGATACGTTTTTGCAACATTAGAAGTTGATTCTTCTTGATATATATATATATATATATATATATATATTATATATTTATATATACATACATACATATATACATATATTTCTTTCTTCACTCTCCATTTAACACTTGGCGGAGTGATCTTGTGTCCATACACGAATGCACGTGCTGTGGGCACTTCGTATCTTTTTGGTTTAAGAAGAATCAACTTCTAATGTTGTAAAAACGTATAAACAAGAATATAAAATAGTATAGGTTATAGAAATTTTATTACCATGCTATTATATATAGAGAGAGAGACCAAAATAATCCCCTGATTATTCAAATGAAGCCAATTTAGCCAAGAGCATCATATTTATCTAATTTAGTCCCTTGATTATATAAAATTAATTCTAAATCCCTCATGTAAAAATTGAGGGAAATTGGGATGTAAAATTGATCCCAATTTAGTCCAAAGGAATCATTTGGGATTAATTTGTATACTTAAGTGATTAAATTGGAAAAATGTGATACTCAGATTGGCCACATAAAAAAAAGTTGGGAAAATATTTTAGGATTTTACACTTATACATATATACATAATAGAATAGTAAATGTTAAAGATAAGATGTTAAAATTTAAAAGATAAGATATTGCCAATCTTTCAAGATAAGCAACTAAAAGTGGAAAATTAAAAATTCTTTTGTTGAGCTAAGCCTCCTGTTGGATAAAATAGCTAATTTAATAAGATTAAATTTAAGGAGAATATAAAATGTGAACACGCACTAATAAGGAAATCACTTGATGATGTGAGGAGGTAGAAATTTTTTTTAAAAAGTACTTTTAAAGAGACAAAAAATTAATACAATGGAAGCTTATGATAATTATAAAAAAGCTACAAGTGTAGCAAAGAGTGTAGTGAGCAGAAAAATAGCATTTGGAGAGTTATATAATAGGCTTCATGCTAAGAACGGAGAATAGGAGATACATGAAATTGCAAAGACAAAAGATAAAAGACATAAAAATTTTGATCAAATAATATGCATTATAATAAAAGATAATAAAATCTCAATAAAAGATGAAAAAGCTACTTCAAAATATTATTACATGAGAGTTTTTAATATATATATATATATATAAATGGAAGAGCATGATGAACAAAATAATAAGATAAATTATAAATAGCTCCAAAAATTGAAATGTAGCTGACACAAAAGAAGATGCATAAAAAAAACACTTTAAGGTTCGGATAAGATATTGAATGAAATTTCAAAAATTACAGACATACAATTGTGATTTGATTAATAAATCTTTTCAATGTAACTTTGATTGAAGATTAAATATTTTGATATCAATATATATGAAGAAAAATATATTCAAGATTATGCTAATGATAAAGAAATCAAACTTATAAGTCAAATAATGAAATTATGAAAGAATAATAAAACATGAACTTAAAAAAATTATGTTAGTTTAGAAATTAGAATAATCAATTGATTTCGTGACATGAAGATCTACCACAAAATGGGGGTTTGCATTCAGATAACAAAGAAGTATAGAGAGCAAAGCAAAGACTTTCGTAAGATCTGTATTAATCTTGAAAAAGCTTATATAATTGAGCACCACGAGAATTAATTTTTTGTGCAATAAGAAAGAAAGATGAGTTTGTGAATGATAAAATTATTGAAGATATGTATTATTGATTTGAACACTAACTAGTATTAGAAGTTGAGCAGATACTTATAAAATTCCAATTAAAATATGATTACATCATAAGGAGATTCTCACAAAGAACATAAAATGTGAGGAGCATAGGTGAATTCTTTTGCAAATAACTTAATTCAAATTAGTTGCACATCTACTAAAATAAGTGGGAGGCTAGGATAACAAAGAAAAATATTCAGAACATACATGCAAATAACACATTGTATAGAAAAATGCAGGTAGTTGAAATAATGTCCACTACATGCGCTATAACACAGTGCACTCAGAGCAAACATTATTACTTTCTTTGTTTTAGGGTTCAATAGTCTATTACATTTAATTGTATTAATTCATTGCTAATGTTTTTAGCTAGGTTTCATTTCAAGCCCTTTTAAACCTAACTAAACCCATCTTGCACATTACTACCCACTGGATGGTGACATTTTAGCTCTGAGACAACCAAAGGATGACGATAAATTATAAGAAAAGTCAAAATTCAATGAATAATTCTATAAATAAAAATTCAATGATTAAAGGACCATTGGATGCGTTTTTAACTCAAAATCCCTTTCTAATGCTGAAACAAAGAAAGGGTACAACAACAACATCAAGCCTTTATCCCACTACGTGGGGTCGGCTACATGAATCCTTTTTCTCCATTGTGTCCTATTAAAAGTCAAATTCTCGTTTAAATCTAATAAAGAAAGGTCATTCCTAATATTTTCTAACCAAGTCTTTTTAGGTCTACCCCTACCTTTCTTAACATAAGTCAAATCTAATACCTCTACTCTCCTAACCGGGTCATCGCAAGGCCGCCGTTCTATGTGACCAAAGCATCTAAGGCGACTTTCTCTAATCTTATCTTCTACTGGAGCTACTCCAACCTTTTCACGTATATGCTCATTTCGTATCATATCTCTAAGGGTAAAGCCACTCATCCACCTGAGCATCCTCATCTCTGCCACACTTAACTTAGTATTATGCTTCTCTTTTAAAGGCCAACATTCGGCACCATAAAGCATTGCAGGCCTCACTACCATCTTATAGAATTTTCCCTTAAGTTTGAGGGATACATTTCTATCACATAACAAGCCCGATGCATTCCGCCACTTCAACCATCCAACTTGAATTCTACTGATAATATCCCCATCTATTTCACCATCACTCTGAACAATAGATCCAAGATACCTAAAACGTGTACTCTTATTAACGACTTGATCGCGGCCAAAGTCACATCCTCACTAGGTCTATTACTACTATAAATTACACTCCATGTTTTCGTTTTAGATCTACTCCAAGCGAAAACTTTAGACTCTAAGGTGACCTCCATAATTCAGTTTACCTTCAACTCCCTCTCTAATCTTATCACAAGAAGAATATCTCAACAAAAGCATACACCAAGGTACATCCTCTTGCAAATGTCTAGTGAGAAATCCATAGACTAAAAGCAAAAATATATGGGCTTAGTGTGATCCTTGATTAACCCAACCGAATAGGGAAATACTTGTCATCCATACCTGTGTTTGAACAAGTAATAGCTCCTGCATACATATCTTTAATGATTTGATATAAGGCATTATTTGACACCTTTCTTTTCAAGAACTCTCCATAGCACTTCTCTTGGAACTTTATCATATGCTTTTTCTAAATCAAAAATATCATATGTAGATCCTCCTTATTTTCTTCTATATTCTCCATCAAACTCTTAATAATGTATGCTTCCATAGTCGACCTACCCGGCATGAATCAAATTTGATTGGAAACATTAGTATCACGCCGCAACCTATGCTCCATAACTCGCTCCCAATAGTTTTAAGTATGACACATTAACTTAATACCTCTATATTGCACAATCTTGTGCATCACCTTTATTCTTAAAAATAGAATTAACACCATATTCTCCACTCATCTGGCATCTTCTATATCTTCAAAATAGTTTTAAAAAGTTTAGTAAGGCCATGAAATTCCTTCATCTCCTAAGCATTTCCACACCTCTATTGAATATCATCAGGTCCAACAACTTTTCCACCCCTTCATTTTCTTTAAAGCTCTCTAACTACATTTAACTAATACGCCGATAAAAACATAAATCTTTATTTTCATTAGGATGCTAAGGTCACTATAATCAATCTTATTTTCACAATCTTCATTAAAAAGTTTAGCAAATATCTCATCCATCTTTGTTGATATCAATCTTCTAAGAAAATATTTTTTGACCTTCATCTTTAATACACTCACTTGAACTAAATCCTTACTATCCTATGATGTGAAACGAGAGAGGATTGGATCCTAAATGTTTGAAGAGCAAATCAAAGGGGTTCTAACAGCAACTGTTGACTCTTAGAAAATTATGGAGCCAGCAATCTCCAGTGCTTGAATAAACTTGGGCAACTGTTATAAGGCTATCTGGGGCTTTACAACCAATTTCAGACCTCCCGGGGTGAGGACAGCAACTTGATGGCTGCAGGAATCTGTAGAACAGCACACCAGGATTGAGCAGAGAATTGCTGGACAGCAGATTTGCTGTGGTAAAAACAGCAATATTGGGGCATCATGGCTACGGGATTCAAGAGGAATGATTGCTGGAAATTTCTGGCTGCAGCTTTACAGGAGGAAGACCCAACGTCCAGGCAGCATTTGGGAGAGAATTGTAGAAGGAAATTATATATCAGCCTTGGGAATATTCGGCCACAGATAAATACGGAGATGGTTCAATTCCAACGTGAGGGAGGCTGAAATTGTAGGCAGAATTATGGCCAGGTTTGGAAATACTTCAACGTGAGTGAAACTGAGATTGTGGGCCAGAAATTGTGGTGGATCTTGGATATCTGGCCACGGGAAGGAATTTGAATTGTTTCCAAGA